GCATGAGAATGTGAGCCCACTTGTACATTTAAAAAAGAAATATTATGCATTATTTTTGCCACTTAAGAAAAAGAATGTTTACTCATTACTTCATGCTTAAAACAGAAGATTTTGCAGAATGTGTCCTTTAAATGAAATCCGCTCAAATACATGAGAGGATTTATCATGATTTGGTTCTTACTTCCTAAATCTTCTGCCAAAAATAATTCAGTAAATGGAGTCATGAGTTCACAGATATTTTGGTTGGCTCCTACTGAAAAGTCTGGGAACCCCTGGCATAACAGATTGAAAGTATATACAAATTGTCAAAAAATAGAGTTCATTTCTTGTAGCTGCTCATTGCATTGCAACAGCCACAGTGCAGTGCAAGAAGTAGGTCTGCCAAAAACATGTTCTGTCACTGGTGGTGTCTGTAGTTTGGACAAAGCCCCGCGAGCGAGAGCACAAGCCTCAGAGCGACGGGTGACATTTCACCATACTCAATGGTATTCACTGTTTAAGCAGGAGTAATGATCTGGATTGTACACGACATTCAATGTTACCTTAATCAGTTTTGACACACTTTCCATCACTGTCATGGCCGTATCCACACCTATAACAAGAAATACCAAAGAAAAACTGGCATAAATGTGAAAATCGGTTTAATAAGAGGCAGAAACTACAGACCAAAATCTAAGGTCAACTTTTTTCTGTAGATTTACCTGAATAAACAATAACAAATACATGTGTTCAATGTTTTATGGGTGACTCACTAATACATAGACAGCTTTTTGTAAACAACATTGTGAGGTTTGTGACTTTGAGACTATTCCAGAAAAATTCAATTCAGATAAAGTTGAACAACAAAAAGAGACACATATGTTTTCAAAACCAGGCCAAGCTTCAGGTCAAGTGTGTGGAGAAACAAAAGAACTATACGTCAAAATGTGTCAGTCTTTCATTTCATTTCTTACTATTATTCCTTAGTCTTGCAAGCGCCAAACCCCATCCAACGTGGCTTCAACAAAAAAACCATTTTGATAAAGAACAAATCACTGTGGACTGTAGAACAGAGCAAAAAATAAAAAAATAAAATGAATCGGCAACAGTCTTTCAATAATAATAATGTCAACAATTAACCCTAATGATGATTATAATCAGGTTATTTGAAATATCGTGAAAGGACAAGGCTAAAGACTTAAGTGTTATATTGATGACATTATAAAATTCCTGTGTCTGTGTTGACTTTTTTTTTCATTTTACCACTGCCTTTCTTATTGCAAGTACTAGAATATTCCAGAGACAATAAACAATGAACTTGGCCAAATGTGTTCCTTCTGTATCAACCAAATGCTTGGATTGAATTGAATTGAATTTATTTATGTATTTCAAGATTGTAAACAGGAATAAATTATTGCAATTTACAGTATTTACATATTATGCATGATACAAACATATGCACACACATGAACATACATACACACATTTTACGGATTCCTTTTCTCTCCTGTCAAAGCCTGAAATCAAACTTATAAGCACCAGTAACCATATTCCTAAATTCACCTTATTCTTTGCTTCTTTTAATTGCACAACTGTATTCAAATAAGGCAGTCACTTGAATAATTACATGAATATAGAAAAGCGAATCCCCAAAAACACAGTACAACAACACACTTGATGTACTGCGAGCTTTGACTGCGAAGGAGCTGAGCAGGTTCCAATTCCCTGTTTCCCTTAAATAAGATTCTTTGTTTAGTTTCATTGTGCTCTGCGAATAATTGAGCCCAGACACATGGGACAGATGCATTTGTGGTGTTCCAGGCTCCCATCACGTCCCATAATGCATCACAGAGAGTGAAGCAGTTTCATGTTTCAGGATCACAGCAGCAGCCCGGCACTGGTCAGGCGCACCGGGCTTCAATGAGCTGAATCAGAACGGAGGAGGAAGAAGAGGAGAGACTGTCCCAAAGGCTGCTGCAGTGAGGAGGAGGCAGCTGGCTCAGAGGTGTGCGCCCTATTTTTAGTTTCCCTTACGAAAATCTCAATATTAAACAGCTGCAGGAGCATTTGCACAATAAAAGACTCTTTTGAAGCAGAGAAACTTTGCTCAATTAGTGTTTTCTCAATACCGAACTCCTATTTCCAGTGTTGGGGAGAATACTTTGACTGTGTATTAAGTTACAACAGCTTTAAGATCCATTTGACTTGATATGATCATTTTATTTCTATTTCGCTTCAAGCAATTGTATATTTTTATTCTTTTCACTGATTCCAACCTGAAATGCTCAAAAAGTAAATAAAAATATGTGATGCCCCCTCCCCCACAGTCCCACTGTAGACCAAAAGAAGAAAAACAAGGAAAAACAGGTGTAATGGTATGAAAACTAAATATTTGTGTAATTCCTTAATCAGTATATTCTGAAATCTTGGAATACTTTTACACTTGTAGTTATGATATAATGTAAACAAACAACTGTACGTTTTGTTATTAATAAGTTCAGTATTCAATTTAATTCAATGTATTTTTGCAAGGCCCAAAATCAAACTTGCAAACATCACTTTTTATGTAATATCCATGTCGCAAATGCATGGTCAAATTCCAAATAACGCCCTTTTGATTTTCAACAGTATTCCTTCAGTTGTCCCATTATGTATTCCCGGTACATGCATTCCACAACCCCACAGAAATGCTTTATGATCGCTCTAGTGTTTTGCTCTTTTACTGTGTTGTTTTAATGCTGTGTAATTTATGTGTGAACATATGTGAAGCAACCGCTAACCCTGGACACCTTACCTTCCCTTTCTGATATTTACTAAAACATTCTAATGGAGGCTACACTGTATGAGCAACTCTGCTACGATATTTGTATCTTTAAAAATTGAGATTCAAATATTTGATTTTAATATCCTATTGCTAATGGTCAGACTTCCTCGGCTAAACGCTCCCAGCTTGTAGAAGCAACGTATGGTGAGTTTTGAGAGTCTGGCAACGTTTTAATTGTACATACATTCCAACTTTATACCTGCAGCGAGTTGTCGTAGACCCAGATTGTAAAGTCATGTGATGCTGTTGTTGACAGCGAGCAGCTTGAATAGTCATAGGCTGCAAATGACCGGTGTGACTAATGTATACAAGGAGAGAGCAGAAGCAGGTCACCGCAGACATGAATAACTGAGACGTCTCAATAAGCAACCAAAGAGCAGGCACAAAGCATGTTTACTTGGCTGGCTCATAGACTGGCTGGCTTCATAATGTACAATAGAGTTCTTTTGAAAATAGAAAAATAGATTAAAATTACATATGTCTACTTGTGAACTACATTATACTGTAATATGGCACATGCACAAAGTAGAATCTAACTCGGACTAAAGTCATGTGAAAAGATAATAAGCTTCTGTATTCAGAGGTAAGCCGTGACGTTGAGCACTATCCACAAGTAAGAAAGGAGGTTGTTTCATTTATTTATCAAATATGAAATATGTATGAGATTCAATCTGCTGGCAGAGGACCAAGCAGAACAAATGTTGAGTGGAGGAATCTCTTAGTCACTTTATGGATGCTTTTTTGAAAGTTTTTCTGTATTTTACTTCTAAAGCATCACAATATCTTTCTTACAAACACTCTTATTACACCACAGCATGTCCAGCTCACCTACTCGTGTGTGCATAAAAACATGTTGGACTAAAGGAAAAACCCCAAAAACAAGGAGATCCAGTTTAGCTGGTTTAAGGCTTGTTTCCACTGCTGCCTCACCTTACACATACTTTTATATTTTCTTCACACTTTCTTCAGTCAAGAGGAGCTTCTAGTATAAAAACCAGTAAGGGACAATAAGACAATATACAAATAATCAAGATTTTGATGCACCCCGCCCTTTCCCAAGTGATGAACATGCTGGTCCCTTGGGACTATTCTTCAGAGCCCACGCACTTTGTCCTTAGCATAAGCAGAGCCAGAAAGACCGCTGTCTCAGGATGAACCATTCTGCCTTGACTTCCTCTGAACAACAACACTCTATTCATTGACAAATGTTTTTGAACAGGAATGCTGCAGACAGGATAAATTCTAGTTGTAGATATATGAGCAAAAACTGCCCTATTAAAATGTGAAAGGACTATGTGAGGTTTGAGAGGAAAGGTCTGTATCAACAGTGATATGAACATGTAAATAAGTTATGGCTTCCATTACACTCTTTGCTGTAAAAGCCATATATGTTTTTAGATTTCCCCGAGTTCTGCTGACGTGCAGAAAGAAGTGAAATATTCATGTTTGTTTAAAAAATTCAAATGGATGTCCTGAACTTTCTCAACATAGCCAATCGCAATAAATTATTTATTTTTTAGTTGAAATAAAGATAAAACCTTGTTGCAGCTAAGACAAAACAAAAATAGATGTATGGTTAAATATTTTTTTCTATATTTGGTGAATTTCTCAACATTAAAAAAATGCAATATCTGGCCATTTGAAACCTTTACCAATACAATTCTTTAGAGTTGGTTAGTAAAAGAACCAGCAGAGGGAGACCACGGCACGTCAAATGCTTTTATCCGCTTTAGCCATGGCTTTAGCTGCAAGTTAATAATAGATAATAAATATTCCTGACTTTTAACAGATACATTTAGTGCACATAATTCAAGCACTATTCAGCTATTATCATTATTATTGTTATTAACAGTTATAGTATTGTAGTTCTATGGTTGTTACTGTTATTATTATTATTATTATTATTATTTTGTATGGCCGCTATTATTCATTTAAATTAACTACTATGGTTTGGTAGCACTTCAATAAGATGCTACTTTTTCGTCAGTTAAATCTGTCCGTAAGTCTGTATAATATTAACGTAATAAAGTCAAATGTGCTAAAAGCCTTTCGTAGCAAATTAGCTTTGGCTATAGATGTAATATTTCACATGTTGTTTGTGTACACTCACTTCCCCCTACCACATAAATGCATAAATATGAATATAACGACCATAGACCTAGGTATATTCCTGTTTCTTGATACTTATCTATTGGACATGGCTCCAGCACTGAGGCTCCACAGGTGGGTGTTTCTGTCCTCCGCATACTCTGTCTCTGTCCCGCCGCGCACTGCGTCACGACGACTCACCACAAGTTCCCCACACTTTCCAACGAGGGAAAGACTGCGCAGTGGTCTGCTACACAACAGACGTAATGTAAGTGTGTCATTGTTGTGTTTTACTCGGTCTTACCTGTGCTGCCGGTGACACGTGACAGCGCTACGTCTACTACCGTGTTCTTACGGCGGACTCCGCGCTGACCCTGTTCCAGCATAGACTGTATTTATTCTTAGCGTATTGCTATTAGCTCGGCAGATTGCATACCGCATAAGCAAAACTCCTGTTGCTTTCATAACATTTGTTTGTTACAGTTGTAGCATGCTGGAACACTTCGTCTCAGATGAACCTGGAACAGCCCCAAACAGAGCTGGCTCTTTGAAAATGGAGGAGCTGTCTGTCATGGCCCTGCTGCAGTGCCCTCTGTGCTTGGAGCCGCTCGATGCCTCAGCGAAGGTCCTGCCCTGCCAACACACTTTCTGCAAGTCCTGTTTGGAAAGACAGGAGCCAAAGCACTCCCAGCTGTTCTGTCCAGAGTGTCAAACTCCTGCCCAGGCCAGGACAGTAGAGGAGCTGCCCACTAACCTAATGCTTGTGCGACTTCTGGAGGGCTTGCAGCTCTCACAGGGGCCCACAAAGAACATGCTGACGCCCCACTACAATGTGCCCTCATCGCTTTTTCATCCCAGAGTGGAGGATGCTGAAGGACCACAGCCAGAACTGTATAGCTACAGAGAAAAGCCAGGCCAGAGTGAGGTGAGAAAAAGCCCCATTATACACTTTTGACAGTCTCATTATAAAATTATACACACCAGCGTGTAACATTTTTAGTCATGATAAAATATTAAAACAAATACAAATGCCTTGGCTTCCACGCAAACTTTGTACAGTATATCTCTTCAGGCATATGCCAGTATTTTATACAGAACAACTGTATATATAGATGGAGTCTTGTGACTCCATCCTCTGAATTGTGGACTACACACTGTACAGAGTGTGTTCGGAGAGTGTCTTTGTGATTCTGCATTTGACCAGAGTGATGCAGCTCTTATGTGACAGGAGTCCTTTTTAGAGACTTTCATTATATGTGTGTGGCACAGTGGCGCAGCAGAGCAAGTCTGCATGGATCCATCTGTCAATCACATGCTCCATTTTTTGCTCTTGCTCGCGAACAAGACCGCAAGATTGTTGGACTCCTCCACTTGAGGACGGGCCTCTCCAACACCGTGACCATAGGTCTAATAATCCCCCCTATGAGGCGAGATCGCAGGGCAAGACCATCACAAATCAACTGCGCTGACAAGTACATTCTAAATTAAATATCATTTTAATTAGAGTGAGGGAAAAACAGTTACTGGGGTAGACATGGCATGGTTGCTTTGCATCTACCTCAGGGAAAATAATTTACATTTATTTTGGGCCAAAGTGTTCAATACAGATCTTACAGATCTTACAATCCCACTCAATTGAGTGACAATAGAGATTTGTAATTTGTTTTTATTTCTAAAGTTATATACAAAACAATTGCAATAATCAGCTTATAGTGCAGTATCAGGATACATCACATTATCTCATATTGTATTGCCAGATACAAGACAACACACAACCCCAATGAATAATGCCTGATGTATCTGTCCAGGAGTTGACTGATGCTCTACACTACACTACTGATCATCTAAACTTCTTTGAGTTTTCACTGAAGTAGGGTCAGCCTGTGAACATGTTCTTGAATTTCATGGAATGATTTTGAATTTATGCTGTTTTAAGTGATCACATGACTTGGTTTGGCCCTCGATTCACTCATGTGTATTTGTGTTGGCTGCCGAGTAAAACAAGTTTGGACCCTTCTGTTGCTAGAAACCAGTTTGGTTTTGGTTTTGGGGAAGTTCAAGTTTACTTTGAGTGAACTCTGAAATGCTGTCTCTTAAAAAGAGACAAGGGTTTCAGACCTGGTTCAGATCACACGACTAGGGTCAAGTCTGTTATTGTGTGGCCATACTTGCATGTGAAAGTCAGATCCCGTCAGACCTCTGAAGCTATGCAGGGCCTGGTTAGTACTGTGATGGGAGACCTCTGGGAACACCAGGTGCCACAGTTGGGCGGCTGTGGCTGTAAAGGGACTAACTGCCGTTGTGTCCTGAGGCAAGACGCTTCACTCTCAACACATCGACCAGTTATAAAATGTAACAGTTCATTTATGAGTAATCTAACAATAGCAGCGTTCTGACCAGGATTCGAACCCAGGACCTTCGTGTCAAGAAGTGAGAGTGCTATAGTATCCACTCAGCCACCGTGCCGCACACATTGTGGACCCGATTAGTGGAGAAAACTAATGTTTCTAAGACTGACCCAGGGAATAAATAGGGCTACTTGGGCTTGGCCCTGTCGATTACGGTTGGAAAAAAAGATTTTTTTGGTCAAATTAGTTTTTTCAAAATGTTGAATGCAGCTGGTTGCCATGACAAATATTTAAATGAGCAAACGCAGATAAGTTGACCTCACTCGAGCTCGGTGAACTGTAAAAACGACAACTCAAAATTTTTCACCTTACTCAGATTTTTGCATTCACTGACCATAAAGTTGCCAGTTGGAACTGGAACTGTCTGTTGTGAGCAACTTGAACTCACTTTCAGAAGTTCACTACAACTTCAGAGTAAAATCAACTTAATATATCAAATAAGATGAACTTTTCATCAGAAACTTCTGAAAGTGAGTTCAAGTGGTTCACAACAGACAGTTGCAGTTCCAACTGGCAATTTTATTGTCAGTGAATGCAAAAATCTTAGTATGGTGAACAATTTTGAGTTGTATTTTTTACAGTGTACATATTATCTGTGATAATGTGATACCCGTCCACTTATTCTACCTTTTCATCAAAAGCAGTTTTCCTAATTACTTTATTATTTTTATTAAAACAAAGAAAGGTCCAGTTGATGGGATTGTTCTAGATGGGTCCAGATTGATACAACATTTATACTGTTACTTTTAATAATACTTCTTATATTATTATTTGAAGTATAAGTTATATAATTGTTTTTTTTATATATATTTAACTGTTATTTACTTAAAAAACATGCATCAAACTACTATTATTTGGCTTGCAGGTTTCTGTTAGATCTTCAATGCAAAACCAACATAGAGGTGTGGTGAATGATCCTGTCTTTACCTCCGGAAATGGTGTTTCTGCAGCAAATGAAGACCTGAACACTACAAACCCCAACGACAACAGAACGGTGTGCGGCAGTGCTCCTCTGTGCAAAGCACTTTGTGATTTCAAGCCACAGGAGATGAGCCTGCAGCCACAGGAGTGCTGCCTGGCCTTCCTCAAGGTCTCTGTCCAGCACACTTGACTTGTACGATACTGTATGAGATACTCAATACGTAGTCAGTATGATACATCGGATGCACTTGCATTGTAAATTGAGAAAAACATTTATGAACAATTGACAGCATTATCACCAGTGTGATATTTTCCACCTGGTTCCAATTAAACTGGGTGAAATGCAACAAGATAAATGTTCTATTGTATTGAAGACTTGTTTTCTCAAATGTTATTGCAAAATTATATTTCCTTCATAATTTGTATCTATATTCAAACAAACCCACTTCAAAAGGATATTTGATATATTGAATTCCACTCTTACATCTTTTAAGAAACTCTGGTTGAAGATGACCTGAGTGGAGAGAATAGCATGAATTTGAAATGCACGAGCAGCTTTCTCTAATGGTCAGCGCTATTTGCTATGACTGTTACTTAGCCTAAAGGATTCTCCAAGAGTTACGTAAGAAGATCAGTTATGGGTTTGCTTTCCATTAAAGAAAGCTGTCTTTTTCTATGGCTCACAGTCCGATGTTTTTGACTGGTTACAGAAAGGTCTTTGCATGAAGAGGATGTGACGCTAAAGTAAACAGTCTAATCTTGCTCTGGTTTGTTTCTCATTTTAGGGTGACATTCTTACTTTCATCAGACGAGTAGATGAACACTGGATTGAAGCCAAACTTGGGGCCAAGGCTGGAATTTGCCCTCTGCAGTTTCTGGAGGTTTGTATTTTCTTTATAGTGTGTTTACTACATTCTTTCTTGATTATTATGTTTCCCGTTTTATTTCATAATATTGTGAATCCTGACACTTTGTACTTAATCAAGGGTGACAACTGCCATTTGGCACTTTGCGCTAGTAGACGGTGCGTTGTGGTGAATTGAAACAAAGATGTCACTTACTTAGTTAATACTTACATTTCACGGCTTTGACACTATTATGGTCTTTATAATAGTCTGAAATGTTGTAAATGTCACTTATTGTCTACAAGGTGCTGGGGCAGAAAGCCTTTCTGATTCTGTCAAGTTTGGAGAGATTGCTTACCCAGACTGTCAAACTATCATCTGTATACTTCAGTTCTTTGTTGGCAGTGTACAGGGATGACATAAGTATTAACCATATTTCAGTCATCTCTCGGTCACTGCGAGTGCTTCGGTATCTCCCGTCATGCTTCTTTCAAGCGCTCCTGTGTCTCCCAGAGCCTACCCTCTTCTGTGGTGCAGTCAGGCATGAGGACACAGTAATGCGTTCTCTGCTTGGGTGGCATAACAGCACATCACTGTGGGGAGTGAAAGCATTAACCCTTCTGCACTCGTCTGTTTTTGGAGCTCCATTTGATTCACAGATCCTCCTGCTCCTCGGTGCACAGACAGCCGTTCCTGGCTCTTTTGAAGAGTAGTTAATTCTCTGCCTGACAGACCGTCCAACAAGTTGTAGGGGTGTGGAAAGAAGCCTTTAGAAACTAAGTTTTCAGCATCTGCAAAGCTTCAAAGAGGATTCCTTATATTATTTTTATATCCTCACTCTCGCTGCTGGTTTTTAACATTTGTTTTCCTATATTTTAGCCAAATTTGGTGACTACCAAACTGCTTGAAGGCAAAAGCCGAAAGGGATCTGACTCAAAAGAATCCCATTATTGGACTAGCACCGGAGGCAAAAGCAAGGCCACTGACGCATCAAGTCGGACCACTCACCCTGGACCCCCTCAAATCTCGGGACAGGCGTCATTTGTTTATGCGCAGACTTTTTCAAACCATCGAAAACAGCACACAGACAGGGGCGAAGAGGCGGCCCTCAACAGCTCCGGCTACAAGAGACATCACCAGCGCAGCTCTGTGCACCCAACATCTCGAAGCCACTCATATCCGTCCAGGGGGCACTCTCAACGAAGACGTCACTCTGACAATTCACACAGACACCTGTCACAGGTGAGTTACTGTTGCAATCTACACTGCACTTTTCTCAGAGATTTGACTCACACATAGCCAGCTCTTGTAAACTCGCCTAGGCGTTGTTATTCTTCCTCCCAATTAAATAGAAAACATGTGTTTGGCAAAGACTTAAGTGATGTAATGTTTCCTTTCAATAATTTGTGTCACCATATCCTTAGAAACATGAAGGATATGGTGACACAAATCTTGAAGAATGGACAACTAAAAGGCATCGCCCTCAAGTAGGTGAACCTGTGGCTTTGAAAACAAATATGAAACATTTGTGAGTACTGGGTCAGAATTGGGAGAATATCCAGTACTTATATGCTCCCATCAATCATTTATATTGATGAAAAGCAGCAGTTTAGGAATAATGTGAGGGTCTTAGTGAAACAACTGAGTGGGAGGCACTGAGAGCCCCTCGGAGTGTGCTTTTCTCTGATGCGCTGCTGCTGGTGATGAGGCTGATGATGCTGATGAGTCATTGCTGAGGTTTGTTACATAACAAACCTCTCTGTGCCCTGCTCTGTTCTCTTTACAGCAGGAGTCTCCATACATAAGATAAGATAAGATAAGATAGACTTTATTGATCTCACACAGGAGAAATTTACATGCCACATCTGGCATGGATAGAATCACTCAAGATTGTGCAAAAGAAAGAAATGTGCAAACATGTTAAATGCAGGATATATTATGTACAATAAATAGTGGCAATTAAAAAGTGTCAATCAAGAAACAGTGTCAATAGTAGCGCAGGTTTTTCAGTCCTAATGCAAGTGACTTAAAGTGACTTATTATACAGTCTGACAGTGGTGGGGATAAAGGCCCTGCGGTAGTGCTCCTTCTTGCACTGAGGGTGCCTCAGTCTTCCACTGAAAGAGCTCCTCAGCTCCTCTACAGTCCTGTGCAGTGGGTGGGAGGTGTTGTCCATGGAGGTGACTTTGACTAGCACCCTCCTGTCCCTCACCTCCTCCACAGAGTCCAGGGGGCAGCCCAGAGTGGAGCTGGCCCTCCTGACCAGCTTGTTCAGTCTACTCCTGTCCCGTGTGCTGCCCGGAGTCCAGCACACGGCAGCGTAGTGTATGGCAGAGGCTACCACAGAGTCATTAAAAGTCCTGAGCAGAGGCCTGCTAACTCCGAAGGACCTCAGCCTCCTCAGAAGGAAGAGGCGACTTTGGCCCTTCTTGTACAGGGCGTTGGTGTTATGGGACCAGTCCAGTTTATTGTTAATGTGAACACCCAGGTACTTGAAGCTGTCCTCCCCCTGGATGTTCAGCGGCGTGTGGGAAAGTGGTTCTCACATCAGTCGACACAGTCTGTGATAACCGACCGATATTCCAGTTCCCCTCAGACACATAGGTGGGAGAGCGTCCGCTGCAGTAAGTAGATGACAGCGTCCTCTACTCCGATGTTGGGCCTGTAGGCGAACTGCAGCGGGTCCAGGGTGGGGCTGAACACGGAACGGAGATGGGTGAGGATGAGCCGCTCCATGGTCTTCATCAGGTGGGAGGTCAGTGCGACTGGTCTGAGCCAGTTCCTTGGCGTGCGCTATTTTAGGAACCGGGATCACACAGGAGGTCTTCCACAGGACAGGGACCTTCTCCAGGCTGAGGCTCAGGTTTTACATGTAGCTGAGGACCTTAGAGAGCTGGTCTGCACAGGTCCTCAGCAGCCTGGGACTGATCCCGTCCGGTCCTGCGGATTTCCTCTGCCTGGTCCGGTGTGATGGAGAAGGGGGAGTGGGGGGGAGACCGGGGTGTACTGGCAGAGGTGGGGGCTGGGGAAGTGGGGGCAGCCGAAGGCAGTGTCCACTGGGCTGGAGACGTGTGAAAAGGTGGGAGCGGGGAGGGGGGCAGATGAAGTCTGTTGCATCTCCCGATGGAAATTTGCTATGTTTCTTTTTGTTTCGCTTTTAATGTCGAACCAATTCTTTTTTACCTCCTCTATTGCGTCCCTCTCCTGACACTGCAGGCCTCCTTTATACTTGTGCTATATAAGGCTGTAGAACATCTAGATAAAACAGATGTATATACACACATGGGCGGTTACTTATGCTAATAACTCACCTGTCACGCACGCTCTGCTTAGAGGAGATGGCATTCATCAATCTAAGAAAACAGCTGCGAACAATTCAGCGGATTACAAGCGCGTAAGAGGTTCTTCTTAGAAATCTTCTTAAGAAGAAATTTAAGAAGATTCTTAAGAAGATATTGGTAAATGAGGCCCAATGATACTGTCCTTTGAAGCGCTAAATAGGGATTGTGTGGTTTTCCTGTAGTTAAAACACACGCAAAGCCTAAATGAAGAAATGGGATTTTCTTTATTTAGGCTTTGCGTGTCAATATTTTGTAGTCCTCTCCCACTCTCCCTGACTCAGGTTGCCAGATACGCACCAAATCTTGCAGCAAACACAAGGAATTATTTTAACAATTGTTTGTCTGTCTCCTTTCACATTGCCATGATAGCCGTGCTAACGTTGGAACATATTTCTTCAGTGTATCATCATCAAGGTTTCCGGGGGAATACATGTTTTTATTCCCTATTTTTTAGACATACAATACAGACCAAAAGTTTGGAAACACCTTCGCATTCAAAGAGTTTCCTTTCCTTTCATGAATATTGACTGTAGATTCAGGCATCAAAACTATGAATTAACTGTAATGGAATTATGTACGTAAGTATGAAACAACTGAAAATATGTCTTATATTCTAGTTTCTTCAAAGTAGCACCTTTTGCTCTGATTACTGCTTCGCACACTCTTGGCATTCTCTTGATGAGCTTCAAGAGGTAGTGACCTGAAATGGTCTCCAACAGTCTTGAAGGAGTTCCCAGAGATGCATAGCACTTGTTGGCCCTTTCACCTTCACTCTGTGGTCCAGCTCACCCCAAAACCATCTGGATTGGGTTCAGGTCCGGTGACTGTGGAGGCCAGGTCATCTGGCCCAGCACCCACCACTCTCCTTCTTGGTCAAATAGCCCTTACACAGCCTGAGTGTGAATCTACAGTCAATAGTCATGAAAAGAAAGGAAACACATTGAATGACAAAGTGTGTGTCTGTACTGTACATGTATAAGTCCCACATCAAAAAGAGACTAACATTATTTTAATTGGGGTACATGTGGTTTCCAATGATTCTTATTACAATTAAGTTTTCTCAATTATATAAAAAAAATATTATCTATCATCTATGTTTAATGGTGAAATTGTCATTATTTTTGACTTATTGACTACCAGACCTTTTTCAGTTCAGGGAAGTGCGTTCTGCCTGTGTTTTCACAGGATTTGACCTAACTTTGAAGAATATTCAGTTATTTGATTATATAAACACCAAGGGCCAAACAAAAGATTAGGCTCTTAGCTTTAATCTGCTGAAAATGGCTTGTTTTTACCTTTTACCGTTCTCGAGCCATCTGTCATAGAATATTATATATATAGTTAATCCAAAAGACGTCTCGCCCGGACCCGAACCCGGGTCACCGTGGTGTAAGTGCTGTGACATAACCACTTCAAGTTTTTATCCGCCTTCAATTTGATAAATTTTTCAAAGGCGTCCCAATATAAATTCTCGTTTTAGTCTTTGTTTTGATTTGAGAATCATAACAAGACCTTTTTTAGTTCTGCGGCCACATGTTATTTTACCAGTGAGATTAGATAGCCGCGGTGAGTTCTGGCAACCCGGATCACAGACTTCCTGTTCGGTGGAGGGCGGGATATCAAAATAAACTCAATAACAAGATTTACGACAGTAACAGTTGTTGTTTTGTGCTTTACAATGTTTATTTTTTTATTGCTTTTTTCTACCTGAGATGTTATTGCAGTACAGTGTTCATGGTTTTGCACTGGTCCAGACCAGAACAGAGAGGATTCATGGCCCGAATCAAGCGTATCAGCCAATAATCCTCTGGAGGAAGGCAACCTTTTTGAAAAATGCTAATGAAACATTTAGTAAGTAAGTAAGTAAGTAATCTTTATTTATATACTGCCTTTTCACTGCAGATCTGAGTCTCAAAGCGGTCTACAATTGTTATTTTTTGGGCATTAGTCTCTCAGGAGCAGGGTCGCCAGTACAGGAGGAGCATGCCAGACCTATTGTACGTATTTTTAGTGGTAGGGGAAACCGGAGTACCCGGAGGAAACCGGAGTACCCGGAGGAAACCGGAGTACCCGGAGGAAACCGGAGTACCCGGAGGAAACCTACGTAGACACGGGGAGAACATGCAAACTCCACTCAGAAAGGCCCTGGTCCGACCGGAATTCGAACTCAGGACCTTCTTGCTGAGAGGCGAGAGTGCTATCCACTCAGCCACCGTGCCGCCCAATTAGCATTTAGCATTTTGGTAGAATATTGGTCCGAACCAAGTGGCTACTCCACCCTTTGACAGCTCCACCCAGAGGCTACTCCATCTGTGCTCCTCTAACCCGTTCTGCTCCACCCAGAGGTTACTCAATCTGTGATGCTGCGACCCGTCCTGCTCTACCCAGTGGCTACTCCACCTCTGCTGCTCTGACCCCTCCTACTCCACCAAGAGGCTACTCCATCTCTGTTGCTGTGACCATAGACTGTAAATATTAACGAACGTAGTCACACCTATCTCCGCCGTTCAAACAAATGGGCCAAAAAATGTGCTCTACTTGAGCTATCCAAAAGAGCCGCGAGTGGTCCAACCCACAAGAAAATTGTGAAAAAATGCATCTGCGCATGCGTCAGCCGGCGCAAGCTTCATTCATTTAAACAAGTGACTTCAAAAATTCACAGCGAGTAAACTGGTGTGTGGTCCAAAAGAATTCACTCCCCTCAGCATTGACACACATGTGGAACGGAGCTTTGGGCCAATAGCCAACTTTTGGACCATCTTGTAAAGACGTTTTTGAGAGGTCTGCTAAAGCTATATGTTAGCATTGACTAATTCTTATTCCGGGTCCACCCCCATCGAACCGGGGTGGTATTGCAAGCATGTCAGCGCACGTCATTTTGGCCACTTTTGAGCCAGGACCCGCCCCCACTGGCTGTGACCTAAAGGGCTGTTGCTGTTTGTTGCTATTGTTATCTTTTCAGAATGATCACATTTATTTAATTTTTTTTGCTGCTACTGGACACCTGAATTTCTCCTACGGGGATCAATAAAGTATCTATTTGTAAAACTAATTTTGAAATTCAAAAACCTCGGCTGAACTACTGTTATCAGTCAAAAAAGTATTTGAAAAGAGCATGGTTTATTAATGCCTTTTGACATTTTTGAGCTATTTAATGATGACTGGACATGCAATTACATACTGCTACTTTAACGGACGTAGGTACACCTACTCCCCACAGCACACATCTGGAAAGTAATGTTGGGCCAAGAGCCGACTTTTGGACCATCCTGTACAGCCGTTTTTGAGAGGAAAGAAGGCGGCATGCAAAATCATTGGGTAATTCTCTTTCCGGGTACACCCCCACCGAATGAATATAGTATGTATAATCTATAATCGGCATGGAAACATTACAATCCGTTCATTAGATATCCCATATCAACCTGTTAGATTCATGTTATCAAACCAGATGTAAGCTACCGGCTGTCAAGTTAGCCTAGTAACGGGAAGCGGGCATCCCCATCCCCGTCCCCAATATAATGATGTATACGGCACATCTAGACGGAGCAGGACAACTCAACCTGTTTGCAACAAAAATAGCTTTTCCTTTAAACTCCTCTAAAAGTATATAGAAGTAAAGGATGTGTGAGACCTCACAAAATCTTAGCACATACTATTTGCATTTCTATAGAGTGAAAAAAGGATGTCCAATGACGCTCCGCCCCCTCTGACTCTGAATCCTCAAATGTCTTCCGTGGACAGCATAAACTCCTCCACACAGCAGCTTTCCATCAGCGTGTGAGTCATATTTTATGTTATTATTAAAACGAGTTGATGAGAAAAGATAATGATGAGGATTATGTGTTTTGTTTTTTTTGTCACCGCTTGCCTCTGTTGAGATGTTTTCTTGTTACATTTACATTAATTCATACTGTGAACAAGGTCACAAAGGTGTGGGGGGCGCAAGACACTAAATTTATTCAAATTATAACGGGATAACATTTTAAAGGTTCTTCTTGCCTCTTTTGACCATATAATTAATCATAGCATCTCCATGGAGTCAAGAAGGTGACAGGCCCTCTAGGAAAATGTGTCTATAAGCATTTGACGTGAAATTCAATGTATTGTCATAAATGTTCTGATTCATCCTTTAGTTGTGCCGTCCTCTACTCCTATAAACCACGGCGTCCAGAAGAACTGGAGCTGAGAAGAGGAGAGATGGTTGGTGTATATGGAAAGTTTAAAGAAGGTTGGCTCCGCGGGTTATCTTTACGAACTGGAAAAGTGGGCATTTTACCAAGTAATTATATAACGCCTGTGCTAAGGTAAAATGTCTCAATATTTTTTTTGTACAATAAAAGGCAAATAGTTTTGACTTACTTTGTAGAATGTGAATAGAAAGTAATATTTTTATGATTTTTGTAGAACATCTGCCAAACTTTTTGAGACCAAAGCAGCCAATGTGTCATCCCAATACACCTCAGTAGCTGGGCGGAAACCCACCGCTGCAAGGAACCCTGCTGTAGTACTTGCCCTTGATAAAGTAAACGCTGATGGAACAATATATCCAGCAGGACAAGCCTCATCTGTACCCAACGGCCCCCAGCACACCATGCCCTCCACAGGGAAAGCACAGTTTCATGGGGGTTCTCAGGGTTGGGACACTGTTAGGCGTATCTTCAACCCACATAGAGGTTTGTACATATCAAATATGACCATTATTCATCACAACATTTGAGGAAAATAAATATCCTGCTTCAAGCAGGAGTATGAAAAATACAATTCTCATTTTTCTAAACTTAACTTTTTTCAGGATTAAATAATTTGAACCAAATGTCAAACACAAATTCGACAAGCACTAGGCACTTTGCACAAGTTCAAGCCTCTGGCTACTCACCCGCCTTGCAGAGAAAGAAGAACATTCTGGCCAACTGTGTCCGACCTTTTGGGTGGATGAGCGAGTCAATAGCACCCTCTGCTGCTGCTTATCACAAAGACAAGGACTTTTCTGCAGCCCTTGAACCAGCTCATATGCAGCCTGCCCCTGCCCCACAATCTATTCTTGTGAAACCAGACTCATTTAGAAACCTCGGAGAAAAGGTTTGAAAAGAAAATGTTCTTTGTATAATTTAATTATTATTACTTACTTATACAACAGTTAAGATCAGCTATCTGATTGTGATCAATTCACTTTTGTATATGTATTTCTAGCCAATAAAGTCTGTGCGCTTCGTTACGAATGAAGATTCCCCTCCTCTGAGACGGCGCACTTCCTCCTGGTCTGCAGGACAAGTTGCCACCAATAACCAGTCTGGCGTCTCTCCTCTGGAAGTATGGGCTCCATCGCTCACACTGGGCAGAGATGGACCTGGAATCATTTTGAAAGAAGGAAAAGCTCCTATTTTCAGAAAAGTCACAGATCTTAATTCAAATGGCACAGTATTGCCCCAATCACCATTTGCCTCTGCCTCAGCTCAATATAGCCCCACCAGGTAATGTATTGCTTTAATTTATCCCAATCTAAAATATTATTGGTATTTTACTTTAAACATAGGTAGGCTAACTATATCTATATTTTTTGATAGAGAATTCATGTAAGGTTGTCAATTGGCTCACTGCTGATTAAGTTATGCATTTATCCTTTTCTTTTCTTCAGACACAGAGTGACAAGAACTCATTTAGCAGAGACTGACTCTGAGCTCACCCTGGCTCAGGGAGAGCTTGTGCTGGTCCACAGACCCCGGAATGATGGACGTTATCTTGTGACACAAGAGCGTAATGGATTCACAGGCTTGTTCCAAAATAACATCTTTCAAGTTCTGGAGAGGATCAGCTGATTTATCTGCCATCTGATTATTACATTTAATCAAAAAGAAACTAAAGAGTTCCTGCCAATTTAAAATCCCACTGATTGTCTTTGTGTCTTTATTGTGTCTAGGCCAGGCTGTCAAAACTTTTTGGTAACAGAGACTTTAGTTAACCATACTTGTCCAGGGGTTGACAATCTGGATTATAAAACAACGTTGTGTTGACTGGATTCGAGCTGCTCTGAGCTTTATATACATAATATAAATATGATGCTTTTAACTTTTTATTTTAACTGTTTTTAAAATGCACTTTTTCACTTCTATGTAAGGCGACCTTGAGTGTCAAGAAAGGTGTCTAAGAAATAAAATGTATTATTATTATTATTATGATTTAAAATGCTTACTTACTTATAATTAGACATGATAGCGCTGAAGTTGGCTGAATGACAAAATTACTATCTCACCAGCTACATTAGCGCTATTAACAGAATTTTGTGAGACAATCAAAAACAAATGTCAGTATATACAAATACAGTCAACAGCTGGATTCCAGAGTTTCTGAGCTTACAACAAGGTACAGCATGTCTATATTGGCTGAGCTGAGAGACTACTTTGGGTTAGCAAGGCAGAGGGCCTCATAAAAGACACACAATTGGCCCACTGGTTTGGACATGCCTGGTCTAGACTGTATTAAATATACTATATTATGTATACTCTATATAATGCATATATTCATGATTATTTTGCACATGAAACCCATACTATTATTACCGAAACTTGCTCGGACAGTGCCTTTATTCAACTCCATAAAGCCTATTGAAACAATCTTTTCTATTCTAGTTCATAAGAAATACATTTAGAATATTTTAAGAGAATTTCTATTGTTAAACAGTAATATTCTTATTTATATGCAGAGATGTCTGCTTAAGTAAATAATTATGTATGTATATGGTACAAACAAACAGTTGGGGGTGGAGTTTTGAAATAGTTTCCAGAATTAATAAATCATCTTACGACAATGTATTTATCTCATGCAAAAGCCTAAATAAACATGTTTTCAAAAACGGGATGGATTCATGGTTCTCTTCTGTTCTATGACGTGGATAGACTAGATCCATGACTATAACCCACAACCTCAAGGCGTTTTCTCCAGACGTTCTCGTAGAATCCTGAAGCTCAGACAAAAGCAGTGGAAATTGCGCCATCGTTTGGCTATTGTCCAGAACTACAAACTAGTGATGTTTACTGGCAAGATGATCCATAATGCACGATGATAATTTTAGTGCTAAAGAGTAAGTATTTCTAATCCACTCAAGTGTACTACAAGTATGAGTATAAATGATACACTCAAATCAAGTAGCTTGCTTTACATATTTTGTATCAAAACACGAGCTCTAATCTTTTCTCTCCATTAGCTCGAAGCACCAGTGGGTTCAACATGATTTTTTCATTTTGTTATCATCATACATCCATGCTATGCATGCATGTTCTAACGGTACCATGGATCTATTATGAACGGTACCCATAGGCTAGACTGTAATGTTAATCAAGGTTGCGCATGCGCTGATGAAGTGTTCGTTGCTGACAACAACTATCGGATGGGCTCATTTGATATGGGCAATGCCATAACATCTATGTTCTGTGGGTAAATCGCAGCGTTAACAGCATCCTTTCGACTATTCCCACACGAGTTAAAACGCACGTCGGTTAACAATGCCGGTAAGTATTTGCATTTAGCTATTCGTGACGAGGATGTTTTGCTTGAAGGGTTCCTCCCTTCCTCTCCTCACCGAGAAGAGCTACTACCCGGGTTAGCATAGTTGGCCTACGTGGTTACGTATCATATTTAGAGACGAATGTGTTTTTTGGGTGGAGGGGCGCCCTTCTTTTATCGCGATGTTGCATATTCTAGTTATTTGTAATGTATAAGGAACCGTTTCCTTAGCTCTAACGTGCGGCAGTTAAGGTTTGGTTGGCTAAGTTTGCCTAGCAACCATACACGTAAAGATTATGCTGATTTTGTTTTAGCTTTCACTTCATTGTAAAAAAGAATAAAAAAAACAAACACAAAGTATTAAGTGCCTTTTACGCTTGACGCTTAAAAGGCACGCACTATTACATTCAATATTCATGTTTTATTTAGCATTACTCTACATATAACAGCTACAGTACAATTGATCATTTCAATTTTGTATTGGCTCACACAAAGCGCTTACTAAACAGCTTTCAAATTCTGAGCTTGGATACGTGGCTGGAAAATAACATTCAATATTTGGTTTTAAGACATCTAGCAGAGGCATAGACATTTGCCAATATCATGATCAAATTCAACAAATACAATTATTTTGAGCATGGACAAAAAAAAGTTTCCCATGTTAACAATCCATCTTTATATGTTGTGGCTACACCCCCCAAACTCTTTAGTAATTGCAAGGATCATCTTGTATGAAATGTGGGTTTAATGTAATGTTGATCTTTATTACAGAGTAATAAGCTTGAAAAGCAGGAGGTTAATGACAATGTCAAGGTGGTGGTCCGATGCCGCCCCCCCAATCAAAAGGAGACTATGATGGGACACAAACAGGCTGTCGCTGTGGACGAGATACGCGGGACAATCACGGTTAGCAAGCTGGAAACTCCCAACGAGCCCCCCAAGACCTTCACCTTTGACACAGTGTTTGGACCGGACAGCAAACAGTTGGATGTCTACAATCTCACTGCCCGCCCCATTGTCGACTCAGTGTTGGAAGGATATAATGGTATATTACATTAATTATATTGTACAAAGTTGTAATTCATGTATTGGTCCTAAATCCTCAAACACTACATTCTGTTACTTAATTCTTGTCATTGTATTTCAGAATAATACATTTGTAACCTTTTTTTATCAGATAACTCATATTACTACAACTCCAACAAAATATGATAACCCCCTGATGCGATGGAGACACACGCTCGCACTCATTAGTGAACTGGATCTGTTTCAAAAGACATTGTTCAAACCAGATTTCATACACACACCGTGGCAAAAACATTTTGTCACAACCTGAGAGTCAAAGATTTACATACACATTAATCTTTGGTATAAATTACACAGCGCCGCAAATGGCGAAGTGGCACGCTCTCTGCCAAAACAATTTCCAAGTGGTAACTTTTGTTTGTTACTTACGTGGCAATGAAAATGATTCTGATTCTGAAATGCCTTTTCAATGTTTTGGGTTGCCTTCTACAAGCCTTTCACAGTAAATTAGTGAAACTGTACCCACTTCTGCTGGCATAACTAATGTTGCTGAGTGAGGTTTGTGGGCCGTCGTCAATGGAATTGAGGTCAAGGATGGCCACTCCTCCACCTTGACCTTGAATTATTATTTTTTTTTCAATTTTTGAAGTCTGCATGGGGTCATTTTCCATGATGTAATGGCTTTTTAAGCCTTTTCATCATTTTAGGTTGTTTAAAGGCACAGTACACACCATCTGAAATTAATCAAAATTTCCCCTAATATTTAAACACTTCACATGATGAAAAATAATGTATTTATACATCTGACCTAGCACAGGACACACTTGGATTTTTGATGTATATAACTTCTTGTTTCAACTCCTTGAACAATATGACCAGTGTACATTTGTTTGTTGCTTTTGCCCCAAATTAAGATTTTACGCCAAAGCACTTCTTGAACCAGCACGAATGGTTCAAGAAACAACAATTCTGCTGGTACTTCTTTAACCAACACAAATGGCCTTTTTTACAAATTTGAATTTGTAAAAATGTGATGATTTTCTAATTTATTTTTAATTTCCAGGCACCATTTTTGCTTATGGTCAAACTGGAACAGGAAAAACCTTTACCATGGAAGGTGTAAGAGCTGTGCCAGAACTCCGAGGCATCATACCGAATTCCTTTGCTCACATATTTGGCCACATCGCAAAAGCAGAAGGTGATACGAGGTAATAAGTTGACGATAGTTATTATGATATTGTTTATATCATTAAGGTTGTGTTTTACCTTTTTCATTTTGTTTATGAATAGGTTTTTAGTTCGTGTTTCATACCTTGAAATTTACAATGAAGAGGTGCGAGATTTGCTTGGTAAAGATCAGATGCAGCGGCTGGAGGTAACTTTCAGACTGCATCATCTACTTCTAAAAGTATTTTGAAATATAACTAAGTAATGTTCTCACAACAGGTAAAGGAACGACCAGATGTTGGGGTGTATATTAAGGATTTGTCTGGTTATGTTGTCAACAATGCAGATGACATGGATAGAATTATGACCCTTGGACACAAAAATCGTAAGTGTTTTCACCTTCAGAGGTCTTTACGTACATGCATGGTCTTGAATACTAAAAGTGGGTGGTTACTTGAAAATTGTCTGATCACAATAGTCTTTATTATTTCTTAGGATCAGTTGGTGCAACCAATATGAACGAACACAGCTCCCGCTCTCACGCTATTTTCACCATTACTATTGAGTGCAGTGAGAAGGGTGTTGATGGGGATCAGCATGTGCACATGGGAAAGCTTCATCTGGTTGACCTTGCTGTATGTATTGTTTGTCCTCAAGTATTTAAATGTATTTTAGATGTACTAATTTTCATCTACACTTCAATTGTCTTTTTTCACACAGGGTTCAGAGAGACAAGGTAAAACCGGGGCCACAGGTCAGAGGTTGAAAGAAGCAACTAAAATCAACTTGTCCCTTTCTACTCTGGGTAACGTCATCTCTGCTCTGGTGGATGGAAAGAGCACTCATGTGCCCTACAGAAACTCTAAACTTACCCGCCTTCTGCAGGACTCCCTGGGGGGCAACTCCAAGACCATGATGGTAGAGTGAAGAAAATATGAAAAAGTTCCATAATCTAATTATGACCTGTTTTTCATTTCTTCAGTGTGCAAATATAGGCCCTGCAGACTATAACTACGATGAAACCATCAGTACACTGCGTTACGCCAATAGGGCTAAAAATATCAAAAACAAAGCAAGAATTAATGAGGATCCGAAAGAAGCTCTTTTGCGTCAATTTCAGAAAGAAATTGAGGAGTTAAAGAAGAAGCTTGAGGAAGGTAGTTTTTTGAACAATTTTCATTCCCCTATAGTGTTAGATCAGTTGATATATTATATATATATATATATATATATATATATATATATATATATATAATATTTGTAATATATAATACATATTACATAAATACATACATAATACATAAATACTGTCCATCCAGGAGAGGAGATTTCAGGTTCTGAAGGAAGTGGATCTGACGAAATGGATGAAGATGAAGGAGGTGAAGCTGGAGATGGTCGTAGGCGAAGACGAGGTGAGTCATATTAACTTGTCTTATGAATGTTTATTTAGTTAATATCTTGTCCTTTTGCTGTTTGTACATGAATCTGAGATACTGACTTAAATGGAGCAAGTGATGTTAATCTGTGGTTAACGTTTAGACTCTGATGTTGATTTTGTAGTATACTTTATCTTTGAACGCATCCGTTTTGAGAATTTCCACATCATTGTCACCTGTACTTCACCTACAGCTAAAAGTGTCACATCACTCTCAGTTTTGAAGATTAAAAAGACTGACCAAAAGTGATTAACGAAAGCAAAGTGGTTCCTTCCACATTACTCGTTATACTTACATAGGACGTCTAATGTAAGAGGGCCACTTTGGTTAAATTGACTTGTCCAAAATTAGTTTTACAATCCATGCTGCCGGCCGCATGGATTGTAAAACTAATTTTTACTGGTTTTAGGGGACAAATGTGTCTTATGGATTCACACCAGAGCTACATGACTGTACTTACATATGTAGTTTTGTAACAAATGTCAATATATGCAAATGGAGTTCCAAAGGTTCTCAGCTTTATAACTCCTATATAAGTTGGCGGATGACACTTTTGTTACGGCCACTGGCACTGGGTACCCGCTATCCTCCCTCCTGTGTTGTGCTGCTGTTCTGCCCAGGCTCCGCCCCGCTGCATGGTGCGCAGTATCGTGCGCTGTCTCCCTGACTCTCCAAACTCCACCAAACAACAGAACTCGAGTCCAATCACTTAAAGCTGTCGAACCTAACCACAAAAAACAAGTATATAATAAATTCCTTGTACCGTAACTAGTTCCTACCTAGTGCACGGTTCTATACTAGATTTTTCAGCAAATAAGAGGACACTTAACAAAATAACTCTCTGTGTACAAGATAAAATGTTTTCGATAAAGATAGTGACACATGTTGTGGACTGATTTGTTCTCAATGTGTTACTTAAAGGAATAGGCCACCGTTTTTACATACTGACATATGTTCTTACCTTACCTTAGACTAGTTGATATGTACCTGTCTGGTCTTTGTCCGTGCGCTTTGTCATGCAAACGGAGCACAAATGCAGCCTCTTCCACATACTGTATAGTTCCGAATCAGCTCCCGTTAGAAGCTACCAAACTCTTCCACGTGTTCCCTTTTTAAATACAGTTATGTGACGTGTTACACTACAAAGTATAGTAACACAGAAATGTAACATGTCAATTTTCTCAGCGGATAAAAAGGGGTACTATATTGTGAGGCGTAATAATACGAGGAGCACTACGTCCGCGCACTAGCTCTTGTAAATACTACAAGTCACGCTGCTTCTATTGACAGAAGTGAGCGGGAAAGAAGTATTTTGGAGTTAGTGCGCGGACGTAGTGTCGTATTATTACGCCTCACAATATAGTGCCCCTTTTTATCCGCTGAGAAAATTGACATGTTACATTTCTGTGCTACTATACTTTGTAGTGTAACACGTCACGTAACTGTATTTAAATAGGGAAAACGTGGAAGAGTTTGGTAGCTTCTAACAGGAGCTGATTTGGAACTATACAGTATGTGGAAGAGGCTGCATTTGTGCTCCGTTTGCATGACAGAGCGCACGGACAAAGACCAGACAGGGACATATCAACAAGTCTAAGGTAAGGTAAGAACATATGTCAGTATGTACAAACGGTGGCCTATTCCTTTAAAGTACCAAAAAGCTGAAAGTCAGTTTATATTTTTGCAATCTATGAAGCAGAGTTGGTCCAGTTAAGAAAAGGCAACAGTCCTCAGGTGTCACTGATCTATTTCAAAGCCAGTGTGTTATCTACGTGACTAGTTGACCAGGCTGTATTTGTTTTATCAGGGGATCCCAGACAGTTCGGGTACACCAGGGCTCACCGAGGGCTAATCCTAGGGCAACCTCAAGATGACCAAATGGCTCAAGGGTTTCTATATATTGTTGAAATTAAATTAATTGTGCATTGCGCAGATGGATAAAAAAAAAGGGGAATTGTACATGACCCCAGTTATTTTTCTTTTCTTTAAACATGGATTAGGATTAGGATCATCTTTTCAAACCTATTGCCAACAATTATTAAGGTAAAGATTTGTTCATAATCATTTAGTTTTGGAAATTAAAGAAATGTCGCGTTAAGTGACCGTGCACCTGCGGGCAGAGGGTTGGTGACTTCTGGTGTACACAAATGTTCTATGCGTTTAAACGTATAACTATGGTTGCAGAATCCGTCCCTGCAGCTAATCAGCAACCCAGCTCTCTCTGGGAGCTGAAGCATACTTTACCATTTAAAAAGAAAAAAGAAAAGGTGAGCGGCCTGAGCGATGGATTGGCCAGATATGGAGAGCGCAATCCAATCTCAGAACCAAGGGAGTAGAACAGGGATACACTGCGCGTTACTGGCGCCCCATGCAGCGGGGCGGAACCTGGACAGAACAGCAGCATAACACAGGAGGGAGGGAAGTGGGTACAGCGCGGCCCAGTGCCAGCGGCCGTAACAACTATGAAAGTACCTCAATGGCTACTGTGTTTTAGCAAGGCACAGGGCCACATGAAAGGACAAATCAGGCCGTTTTTTGCCGCGGGCCTTGGTTAGGATATGCCTGGTCTTACTGGTGTATTTTTAATAGATTTTCATTCTCTAAACCTAGTTCACACAGTGTGAGATCTCCAGCACGCTCTACTACATTACTAATTTAACTGAATCCTTTTAGAAAAATATTTAGAAAAAATTATGTTCTTACTTGTTTGAAGTTTTTGTGCAGATGTGCTCTCCCTCTCATCCCCGAGCCTGAGCCGACTGTGGTTTTTTTTAATGAACTTTTGTAATTCTTCATTATAAATGGTTTTGAGCACTCCAATAAACATGACTACAGGTCAGTCAAAACTGTAGCTAATGATCTGAAATGTTATACCTAATTTTGAGGTTATTCTCTAAACCAGGGGTGCTCACACTTTTTCAGCATGCGAGCTACTTATAAAAGGATCAAGTCAAAATGATCTACCTACTACAAAAATGCAAATCATATATTTCAAAAAATATTCTTTATATCTACAACGTATGTTTATGTACATGCAAAACCGCATGAGCCAATATAGCACAACACAACACAATTACCTATGTACATTTTTTGTCATTACCTGAGTTTACTCTGATGACTTGCACTGAATTGAATCGGCCAGGGATGCATAGTCCGGAAAATTGGTGGTAACTCGCTGACAAGTTTGTCGTGGTTTAGCTTTCCTGCACTGAGCGCGGTTGTTTGTGCATGTGCAGTCAACTAAGTGTCAGTAAAACATTACTGAGTAAAACACAGATGTCATTTGACTGTGGTGCCATGTCCATGTGCCATGCCTGTTTTTTTAAAATCCAAATATTTCCCCTCCTCCGTTTATAAAATAATTTGCATCCACACATCTGCGTTATCAATCACATTCGTAACATTCCAAACATGTGCGTCTCTTACGTCCTGTCCTGCGTTGGGGAAAAACACAGAAGTGGGCGGAGTTCTGATGCAGATGCCGGTAACGGCACTTTTACAGTCATAGAAGACACTCAGAGTAAAGAGTAAGACGTATGTTTACAAGCACTGACCCCGTCCTCAGCCCTGATTTAGTCCTGGTTTAGTCCTGGTTTGGTTGTTTTCGAGCGTGAGTCCCCGCGATCACTTTGCTGCTCTCTGATGTGGAGGATGTTCGCTGCTGCGAGCATCTCACAGCGGACAGTTTTTAAGGTAGTATGATCCATGCTTCAGTGATCAGAGGAATTTAGGGGGGTACTGTGGCGTGCGAGAACGCAAAACTCCGGTTATCTCTGTCTACACACAAATGCATTAACGGAGTTTTCAAAAATCTCCACTTTGCCCGGAGTTTTTTGTATATATTCGTTTAGAATGTGTAATTTTTTATTTATTTAATGCGATCTACCAATACTACCTTTGCGATCGACCGGTAGATCGCGATCGACGTATTGAGCACCCCTGCTCTAAACAATGAACCATGACTCTAATTTGAAAGCATTTGTTAGAGAAAGTGATCTGTAAAACAATCTACAATACCCAGCCTTATGAGTAGTACTTATTATAGATGCAGCTCATATATATATTGTATATATATATATATATATATATATATATATATATATATATATATATATACTATATATATATATATATATAATATTTTCTTCCACCATCCAAATGATCAAAATGTACTTAAAGTTTTTATATATATGTACAGTATGCTTGTCATTAGAACAATTTCTATTATAGGTAGAAAGAAGGTATCTGCTGACAAGATGGTAGAGATGCAGGCAAAGATTGAAGAGGAACGCAAGGCTTTGGAGGCCAAACTTGACATGGAGGAAGAGGAAAGGAACAAGGCCAGAGCAGAGTTGGAAAAAAGAGAAAAAGACTTGATCAAAGCTCAGTATGTATATCATGTATTCATATTTTTACATTTGACTTCCAAGCTGTAAGAGCATAAATTGTTGTAAACATTTAAACTTGAGCAGACAGGAGCACCATTTACTGTTGGAGAAACTTTCCGCTCTGGAGAAAAAGGTTATCGTTGGTGGAGTGGATCTTTTGGCCAAGGCTGAGGAACAGGAGAAACTTCTGGAAGAATCAAACAATGAACTGGAAGAACGTCGCAGGAGGGCAGAGCAGCTGCGCAAAGAGCTGGAGGAGAAAGAGGTTTGTCTGTCTTTAAGTCATTTTCAAATTCTGCAGACATATGTTGCAAGCATAGTAAACGTAATATATGAGACCATGGCAACCATAGTTATACGTTTAAACGCATAGCACATTTGTGTACACCAGAGGTCACCAACCCTGTGCCCGCAGGTGCACGGTCACGTAACGCGACATTTCTTTAATTTCCAAAACTAAATGATTGTGAACAAATCTTTACCTTATTAATTGTTGGCAAGAGGTTTGAAAAGATGATCCTAATCCATTTTTAAAGAAGAAAACTGGGGTCATGTACAATTCCCCATTTTTTTTTTATCCATCTGCGCAATGCACAATTAATTTAATTTCAACAATATATATAAACCCTTGAGCCATTTGGTCATCTTGAGGTTGCCCTAGGATTAGCCCTCGGTGAGCCCTGGTGTACCCGAACTGTCTGGGATCCCCTGATAAAACAAATACAGCCTGGTCAACTAGTCACGTAGATAACACACTGGCTTTGAAATAGATCAGTGACACTTGAGGACTGTTGCCTTTTCTTAACTGGACCAACTCTGCTTCATAGATCTCAAAAATATAAACTGACTTTCAGCTTTTTGATACTTTAAGTAACACATTGAGAGCAAATCAGTCCACAACGTGTGGACTATCTTTGTAGAAAACATTTTATCCTGTACACAGAGAGCTGTTTGGTTAAGTGTCCTCTTATTTGCTGAAAAATCTAGTATAGAACCGTGCACTAGGTAGGAACTAGTAACGGTACAAGGAATTTATTATATACTTGTTTTTTTGTGGTTTGGTTTGCCAGCTTTAAGTGATTGGACACATGTTCTGTTGTTTGGAGGAGTTCGGAGAGTCCATGGAGTATGCCTATTGGTCGGCCTCGAAGAGATTCCGGCAAACTGTCCGGCGCCTCAGGAGGGGGAAGCAGCTCTTTACTAGCACCATGTACGGTGCGGGTGTAGATCGGCTGACCTCAACTGGGGATATTGTTGGACGGTGGAAGGAATTCTTCGAGGTTCTCCTCAATCCCCCCGTCACGTCCTCCGTCCCGGAGGCAGAGGCTGAGGATGTCAGGGTGGATACTCCCTGGCTGAGGTCACCAAGGTGGTTGGCAGCCTTCTTGGTGGCAAGGCTCCGGGAGTGGATGAGAGCCGCCCTAGCTATCTAAAGTCTTTAGATGTTATAGGACTGTCTTGGCTGACACGTCTCTGCAAAAGTGCAGTGACGATGGAGTGGCAGACCGGGGTGGTGGTCCCTCTCTACAAATTATCGTGGGATCACACTCCTCAGCCTCCCAAGTAAGGTCTACTCCAATGTACTGGAGAGTAGACTACGACAGATGGTTGAATTTCGGATTCAGGAGGAGCAGGGTGGTTTTCCCTGTGCCTTTCCCTCTCCATGTGGGTGGAGTGGTCCTTCCTCAAGTGGAGGAGTTCAAGTATATCGAGGTCTTGTTCACGAGTGAGGGAAGAATGGAGCGTGAGATTGACAGTCAGATCAGTGCAGCGTGCGCAGTGATGCGCTCGCTGTATTGAACCGTTCTGGTAAAGAGGGAACCGAGTCGAAAGGCAAAGCTCTCGGTTTACCGGTCAATCTCTGTTCCCTGATCCCTCAAAGAACGAGATCGCGGATACAAGCGGTCGAAATGAGCTTCCTCTGCAGAGTGGCTGGGCGCTCCCTTAGAGATAGGGTGAGGAGCTCAGTCATAGAAGGAGCTCGCCGCTGCTTCTCCACGTCGAGAGGAACCAGTTGAGGTGGCTCAGGCATCTGTTCCAGGATGCCTCCTGGACGCCCCCTGGGGAGGTGTTTTGGGCACGTCCCACCGGTAGGAGGCCCCGGAGAAGACCCAGGACATGTTGGAGGGACTATGTCTCTCAGCTGGCCTGTGAACGCCTTGGGGTCGCCCCGGATGAGCTGGAGGAAGTGTGTGTGGATATGGAAGTCTGGGCGTCTCTGCTTAGACTGCTGCGCCCGCGACCCAGCAACGGATGAAGCGGAAATAATGGAATGGAATGGAATAGACACATGTTTTCTTGTTTGTCAGTTTTAAGTCCACAAATAAAGTGAACTTGAGTAGGTCCAGTTAAAGTCACCCATACATATACATAATGATGTGACAAAAGTATAGATTGAGTATATATTAAACTCAATATTTCATAATAATCCAACAGCAAGAACGCCTTGATATTGAAGAAAAGTATACAAGTCTTCAAGAAGAAGCCCAAGGAAAAACAAAGAAACTCAAGAAAGTGTGGACAATGCTGATGGCTGCCAAGTCTGAGGTGTGGAACTCTTCTTCATGTGTTTCTCATCATTGAGCTTTTCAAGAGCAGAGTGTTTTTGCTGCTTTAGATGGCTGATTTGCAGCAGGAGCATCACAGAGAAATTGAGGGTCTCCTGGAAAACATTCGACAGCTGAGCCGTGAGCTGCGCCTGCAGATGCTCATCATTGACAGCTTCATACCACAGGAGTACCAGGTTTACAGCATTTCACTCTGATTTATACGCCCATAGATTTGAATAGTTCAAGTGACTTAAATTTTATTTGAAGGAGATGATTGAAAATTATGTGCACTGGAATGAAGACATTGGAGAATGGCAATTGGTGAGTACACCGACCGATAATATTAAACATTATGAATAGTTTACCAAACTTTGGGGGGTTTATTCATTCATAAAGATCATCTTAAAATACACACCTTTTATCCGCTTTTAGCTACTCGCTATTCATTCAAATACATTAGACAGGACCATCTGCCCACACTTAATGTCACTTATGCACAATCAGGCAGCAACTGGAAGTTGCCTTGGCACTACAGACTTCAAAATAACAAAGAATTCCCTTACAATTTATATTGCTATTAATATTAATGATTATTCTTATTGTTATTAAGTTTGACTTTGTCTTTTACAGAAATGTGTAGCTTACACTGGCAACAATATGAGAAAGCACACCCCTACACCAGACAAAAAAGAAAAGGATGTAAGTAATCAATCTATTATTTACTTCATCCATCTATTTATTTACTTTTTTTTCCTTGAAAATCTAGTCTTTAGCCAGTGAACATATTGTAATATTATATTTCTGCCTTTTTCAGCCATTTGAGGTGGACTTGTCTCATGTGTACCTTGCATACACAGAAGAAAGCATGCGGCAGTCACTAATGAAGCTAGAAAGACCCAGGACTTCCAAAAGTAAAAGTGGACGTCCAAAGACGGGGCGACGGTATGTTCTGCTTTTCCTTTTGCTTATTACTGGTTTTCCTTGTATTCCTAGTTTAGTTTTCTGTATTCTTGATATTATTCTTAACTTTCATATTCTTATACATAGTACTTATCCTTCGTTAAAACACACTTCCTGTATTGTTGATAACAATAATCATGGTTCATCTTTACACAGGAAACGATCAGCTCGACCAGATGCAGTGATCGAATCTCTTCTGCAGTGAAGAAGCTTCTATTTAAAAATGTGAAGGAGCATTTGTTGATGTTGTTAAGTTGTTAATAAAAGGATCTAGTCATATCTAAAACCAATTATAATACATGCTCAACAGACATTTGGGGGACAACACAATACTACATTCTTAACAATATTCACAAGTGCATTTAAAGCACAACCTATACACTGATCATTAATCGTATTGTTTTTTTCCCCAATGATTAAAAAAGAAGTGTATATTGCATGCAGGAACGCTCCTGACCGTGCCATGTCCTCACATTCTGTACTGTACTGTAATCAAGCAAAGGCTGCTGCAAAGTTATGGACTGGGGCACCTTCACTTTGTTTTGTTCTGTATTTTCATTGCATCTCCATGTAAAGGGTCCATTGTTTACAAACATTCAACTTTTATTTATTAAATTATTTTTAAGATTTATTTTGCTGACATTGTCTATTGTTTTGTTAATAAATAGGTGATATCCCCAACTTAAAGCCTCGTGTGTAAGTTATTTTGCCTAGTGTTATAAAACAAAACAACAACTTAGTACAAAATCCATCAGTTGATTTTATGATTTATTATGAGAATTGTATGTATACAATAAAATATAAAATCATTTTAAATACAGAGCATGTGTTATTGGTACAAAACTAATTATTTGAAAGGGAAGTCCTTAACGATGGTTGGACTCTTGGACTTTCTTGAGTGTGATTGTTCAGAGCTTTCACAGTACAGTTGCGGATTTTCCCCAGCATTTCTTGGATGGAGATCGAATAACCGTCCTTTAGTTCACATGTTGTTTGTCCTGTCTTTAATAAACATTTAGACATGAATGCAATGCATTGTAAAATACCTGTATAAAGATGTGTTCATGTTTTAAAAATGTATCTAAATTAATAATTTATAGTATTACCTGATTGTTGTACCTATCCAATAAAGAACAGAGTTTGCCTAGTTGAGGGATGTGTACGGCACTAAGGGACTTCTCCGCAAGACAAAAGAAATTTGCCTGTAAAGGGAAAACAAGTTTATGGCAAACATGCATACTACTGTAATATATAAATAAATACATATTTAAAATAAACAATAGTTACAGCACAAACTCTTCTACTACGTTTTGTTGTCACACTTCCCACTAGTGACTGCAATAACAAGACAATTATTAGTATTTCATAAAAGAACAAATGCAGTAATGTTTTTCTTACCTGTGCACTCAGGTTATCAACTGTCTCCTCAATTTTGCGCAGCAAATGTAGTTGACTAGGTGGAATGTGTACTGCATACAGAATAGTACAAAACATGATAAGCCTGAGAGTGTAAATGAGTTTCTTCTCCATCTTTGACCCCTGCTGACGAGAGGAGAGGGCCACTGCGCTCGCTGTGTCGATCACAGGCTACACTTATACGCCACAGCATTCAGATACATCAGAGGAAAATACCAAATAAGGAGGAGTACTTAATGGAAAGCTGCTCATCACTTTCAGTCCAAACTGTTCCACTATGATTGTGGCATTATAAGATGGATCAGAAAGCCCCTTTTATCTATTTTTGTGTCTTTATCTTGATCAAATAATAAAAGTTTACCTTGAGTTTGTTTCCCCAGCTGACACATGTTTCTTGTGAACTATAGTAGTCTATTTAATCTAATTAATAGAATTGGTTGCTTCATGCTTGCTAATTACTAACAACGATATACTCAGTGTAAGTTTGAAAGCAATTGTATGAAGTTCATACTAGTCTTTTTGTTTCATGAATTTACACTGATATCTGGACATACAGTATCTAGCTATCCCCAGTTTGATAATACTGCTACAATCATGTAAATGTATTTATGATTAAATCAATTGAACTCTCTGAGTCGTTTTATGAACAAATATTTCACTGGACTCCATTAAACCTCCTGTTGTAAAATTTTTCCCAAACATCAGACCTGGTGAAAAATTTGATAATTTGGTGTTTATTTTTATGGGACTCCAAAAATGCCAGAACAGCGCCACCTACAACAGCCAATGGGAGTTTCAGAGGTCAAGTTTGTCGTAGAGCCATGAAATTCGGTACACATGTTCCTCAAGTCAAGATACGACCGAAATGTTATCATGACTACGCCCTCTGACAAACAGGAAGCCAATAAATTTCACTGCAAAATGGAAAAATGATCCGCAATCATTTTCATACAAGTCGGTTGGAAAGCAACTCCTCCTCGGCCGTTTCACCGATTTGCCTCAAAATTGCTCCACATTATCTCAACACATGTACCTTCAAAATGACCGAAGGGATTTTTGATCAGTGAAAAGTTGTTTGAGCAGCGGAGCGGGAAAATGTGAGTGTTTTTTGGCCGTTTTTGACAACATTAATTTTGCTCCCGTTTGCACAAACAAAGTCTGCGGGGCGGCATGGTGCAGATCCGCTTGGTGCGGGGCGGCTTGATGTGGGGCGGCTTAATGCGGGGCGGCTTGATGTGGGGCGGCTTGATGTGGGGCGGCTTGATGTGGGGCGGCTTGATGTGGGGCGGCTTGGTGTGGGGCAGCTTGGTGCGGAGCTGCTTGGTGTGGGGCGGCTTGGTGCGGAGCTGCTTGATGCGGGGTGGTGCGCGCGGTACGGGGTGTTGCTCGTGGTGCGGGGTGGTGCGCGTGGTGCGGCAAGGGCCGTTCGACGCCGCTTGCGGCTTTAATTTTTATTATTATTATTATCTTCATTACTATTATTATTATTATTACTATTACAAATATTATTGTTTTAATTATATCCATTTTAGGGAGTAGGCTTCAAATTGCGATACAAATCTGAAAGTTGTGGTATCTCAACACTGTATGAGCAGCTTATAGTTAATACAACTGCATAGGCTGCTTAGTAAACTTGTTCTACCTAAAGAGACCTCTCTATATTTGGAAGATTACTGCTTTCTAAAATGGAAGGTCTATCTAGACAAATTTTTCCAGCATACACTTTGAATGTGAACTCAAAAATGATTAAGCAAATGAAGCAAATTGATAGACATAATTTTATTAGGAAAAACTATTTTGTAAAATCTATAGAGGAGGGTGATTGAATGCTATTGATTTTGTTTCCATGAATGGTGCCTTAAAACGTTGATGGTTACAACATTTTATAACAAATCTAAATATTTTCTGGTTCAGTCTCTCCTCAAAAATATTCTCAAACTTCGTGGAATTGACTTTCTTATCCAATGTGACGAAATTACCTACTAAATTATCCAAATTTCATGAGCAAGTCCTCCAGTATTGGAAATTGATATACAGTCACAATGTTTCGCCACATAATACACCTATCTGGAATAATACATATATTCTGATTAGAAGGAAATCCTTTATCAGCATTGGCATGAAAAAGGTATATGGTCAGTTTTACACTTAATGAAGGATACAAGTAATTTTCTTCAGTTTATTGATTTCAGCCAGAAATACAATTCGATTTGCATAGGCAATTTTTTTTACAAGTAGTCAAGGCTATTCCACAAGCTCTTGTTTGTGCTATTAAGGGATCTCTAATGTATAGTTGGTCCCAAAAATATATGCATTACTCGTAATAACACATTTTTAAGATCAGCATTATCCAATAAATATTTCCCATTGCCTTCAAGAAGATAATATATTATGAAGAATCTCACCAAACACAATTCTAAGATTTTCAGATGCAGTTACATAAAATTCCCTATCCTACCTAAAGCTAAAGAAGTTAGATTTAAATTACTGAACAATGTATATCTGTGCAAAGACTTTTACATTCCAAATTCAATATTGACGATAATGTGTGTGTTTTTTGCGGTACCAACATAGAAACAGAGGAACACCTTTTTTTCACATGTGTGCATTCAAAAATATTTTGGGATCGTTTTTGAGCTAATGGACTTCAATTATCAAGACATAAAAATTGAGTCTTACTGGTAGACAAAAACAAAGAATTTAAAATTAACAACTGTATGATCATGGCTTTATTTTTCATTCACAAATGCAAATTTAGTAATTCCAAACCCTTGTTTAGAATATTTCTGAGCGGATTGTCAATCTTTAGGGATTCGTTGAGGCTGTGTAATTCAAAGAAAGCACTTTGGTTATATGAAAATATTGTGAATCTACCTCGGACCCTTGTGACTCAGTAATGTGGCTTTCTTTGTTCTTGTTCTGTTTTTTAGTTTTCTATATATGCGTGAAATTGTACTAAATATGTAAGCCTGTCTGATTTGTTTTTCAATAAAAAAATAAAACAAACAATTGTTCTACCTGATTTAATGTATTCACATAGCACAGGGGCGCCCTCTAGCGTCATGAGTAAGTACAACATAAGACAACATTTTCTGAACAGTACAATACATTAAGTTTATAAAATATGTATATCGTTAATGAGATAGATAATGTGATATATGTGTATTACAATGATACTGTTGTTGTCCGTCAGGAGCTTGTATACACTACAATGCTTAAATTCAGTGAGGTGAGGTGGAACTGTCCTATGTCCCCTTAGCCGTATGTCCCCTTGGCCCTAGGTCCTCACCACAGACATATAAAGAGTCTTAGTCTATGGTCCTCACAGCCCTATGTCCCTTCTGCCCTATGTCCTCAAGGCTCTATGTCCTCACTGCCCTATGTCCTCAAGGCTCTATGTCCTCACTGCCCTATGTCACATTTGCCCTCACAGCCCTATATCCCCTTTGCCCTATGTTCTCACAGCCCTATGTCTCATTGACCCAAGGTCCCCACTGCCCTACCAAGTTTGAATTTTAACCTATAGAACTACTTATTCCTAAAGATAAATAATGGAATTATTTATATCTTGTTTTGTGTGCTCATTCATACTGTTCTGTAATTTGTGATGCAAATTGCAAAACTGAAATGTCCCCACTGTGGGACAAATAAAGGATCTCTTATACTATTAGTAAATATAACGAATAAAATATCCCAGAGCAGCTTTCTTCGAAAAGTGTCAAACTCGAACCTAACCCCTATACTTACTTTTTAAGACAGGAAGAGACATACAGAACAATCTGAAGTTCAAACTCATGAGGATAATAACATACTTATAGATATAATCCTTGTTTAATTATTGACACCACATACACACAAAACACGGTCACATAGAGTGCAGTCCCTTTCAGGAGTGAGGAGAGCATCTGAGGCAGCTGGCCAATGGGAACGCACATGGGTTTCTGGCTGATGCGCCATTTTACTGCGTACACCGCCATCCGGCAAGATGGTCCTCCTGCTTTGTCTCCGGTAACTGGAGCTTTCGTCTATCACAGCTTGCTTTTGCTTCCGTGACATCGGAAACACAGAGACACACATTTATTTAGATTGCAAGATCACCCTCTGCACCCTCAGAAATGCCTGCGGATACAATCGGGTGAGATAACATTTCTCAGTGTTTGCATTTCCTATAGATGTTTAGTGGGTTGTTCACGGAGCTACATTAGCTAGCGCGGAGCCGGGCCGTGCAGCTCGTGCGGAGTTCAGCAGGTTAGCTTCACTCTGTAGCTGCGCAGCCGGTAATGCTACACATACACTGCCTCATGAACACAACAGGGACGCAGTGCTGTCCGGGCTAGCTCTACACGACACACATTTTAACGGCGATGGGTTAGATAAAGTTATGTGTTTTATAATTATTTCCAAAATGCGTGGCTGTTTTTTTTTTTAGGCTAGTAGCTGTTCGTCTCCAGAGTTAGCGTTAGCTCTGTGCTGAATGTCCATGTACAGTGGGACAGGAACCTGGCGCGAACCATTACTTGTTTTCTTCACATTAATTAAGTTGTTGCCAAAAAATATACACTTTATGACACCTCGTGCACATTAGCCGCGCAAGTATTCTCATAAATTTTAATAAGCATAGATGATATTTCGGGATGCTAATCAAAACATTGCTCATGTACATTGCATATAAAAGCACCGGGCTGCGATGTTTATTGTCGTTTCATGATTGTTTGCGCATCTTCCACCGACCCAGTTTTTGAGGCAATGGCCTAATTCACAGGACTCAGCTGAAATGTTGTCAGCACATTATGATGAAGCAAAACAAGAACATAAACAACGTGGGCGATCAATAAACGGGACCTTTTTAAATGAATGCTAGTTGGCAAATGCAGAACGTATACTTAAATAATTAACATGTATTAATGTTTTGAATTAAGCCTATTATGTAAATTGAATTAGAATTATACAATGTTTTGTTTTATAACGGTCGAACGTACTACTTGGGTTTTTGTTTTGCGATGTTGCTGTAATTATTGCGTTTTTATTCCACCAGCCTTGTAGTTCAGACAATATGAATCCTTCCTCATCTCGTATGAAGAGGTAAGAAACAGTTTCCTATTATAATTATAATTATAATTTATGGTCTAGATTTTAAGCACTTTGTTATTGTTTAGAAACTCTACTACAATGACGAAGCAATCTGCACAAAGCAAATCTGATGTCTCTGAGCAAAGTGGAAATGAAGATGGCCCCTCTGACAATCCTTCAGAAAAGAGTAAATCAAACTCTTCAAAAGGTATAGACGGGGCATTGTGAATGGTCTAGATTCAGAAATTCCTTCTAATCCTTTTTCATTTTCTGTAGTAATGAAGCCTTCTGGAAATGAGAGTAAAGGGGCTATGAAGCTTCGGGTGGATTTCAAACAGAAGCAAAGGGGTGATTTTCTTCTGCCAATTGCATGTATTCATTCTTCTGCAATGTCGATAATTGTTGATGCAATGTTTTGTCTCTACAGATGATGCCCTCTCACAAAGGGTTGGCTGCACTGGCTGTGGAAGGCAAATTAACCAGTTTAAGTCAAGTTCAGTGTTTGTGCATCCTGTACTAAAAGTGGCTATTTGTAAGGTATGACATTTTATTTATTGAATGTATTTCCGATTCAAAAGCATGTTCAAATTTGTTATCTCCTTTTTAGTCATGTTACAATTTTTACACGAGTGACGAGATCAGCAAGGACTCTGATGGAATGGACGAGCAATGCAGGTCTGAAATTTGCACCACTGGATTTGGGCATTCTTGCTGAATATCACAATCTATAAGTACCTTTATTAGCCCATGTTAAAGGTTTTTCAATTAAAGGCAATTTCTCTTTTAAGACCATATTGCTTTCCCTTCTTGCTATATTTTACACACTAATTATTGTACATGTATGTCTGTATGGCGTAAGTTACGTTTACATAACTTTCTTTTGCAGGTGGTGTGCTGAGGGGGGGAACCTCATCTGCTGTGACTATTGCAGTAATGCCTTCTGCAAGAAGTGCATCGTGCGCAACCTCGGACGAAAAGAGCTCTCACTTATCACTGATGAAAACTCCAAATGGCATTGCTATGTTTGTAGGGATGAGCCGCTTCATGAGCTAGTTTCCAAATGTCATACTATGATAAAACCCATTCAAGAACATGGCAAACACAAAGCAAGTGAGAATAGTGAGGACTCTGTGAAGGACAAAAAGAAACCTGTAAAGGAGCATAAAACCGTTGTTAATGGAAAAGAACAGCCAGAAACCTCAGGGACAATGACTTTTACGTATAAAAAACTACAAGTACCCAAAGAGCTTATCAAGAAAACTAAAAAACTTGTAGAAACTACCACTGGTCTGAACAATACTTTTATTCAGTTCATTCAACAAACTGCAGAAGAGGAGACTGATAACTCTATACGATATCGGCATTTGAAAGCTTTCAAATCTGTACTTGCAGATTTAAAAAAGGCCCACAGTGCACTGGAGGATGCACTAGAGCCAGAGTTCAACAATATGGAGTTACTGAATGGCTTGGCCAATGCAACAAAAAAAAGTGAAGCAACAGTCTTGAATAATGATCTAGATGTTGACCATTCCTCAGACACTTTAGATGGGAAAGCTGTTATTGCGCAGCCAGTTGAAGAAAATGACCATGATTCTGCTACTGAAGACACTGGAGAGTGTAAAAGTCCAGTATCTGCTTCTATGGAAGAGACTGAAGAGTGCAAAAGTCCAGCATCCGCTTCTATGGAAGAGGCACAAGAGGGTAAAAGTCCAGCATCTGCTTCTATGGAAGAGGCACAAGAGGGTAAAAGTCCAGCATCTGCTTCTATGGAAGAGGCAGATGAGTGTAAAAGTCCAGCATCTGCTTCTATGGAAGAGGCTGAAGAGTGTAAGAGTCCAGTATCGGCCTGTATGGAGGAGACTGAGCAAAATGACCACAACACGGCTGTTGAGGAAAGTGTGGGCAAGGAGCAGAAAAACTCCAGCACTGAGGAACCGAAGAACAGGCCAGCTCCAGGGATGAAGAAAACAACCACACTAAAAGAACCACAAGTTGATGAGAAACTAGGACCTGAGACAGTCTCTCAAATGAATCAGACCACTCCAGAAATAATTAATATAAAGACTGAGATTTGTGAAGATCCCCAAGAAGACACAGAGGAAATGTCTCTAGATAAAGATATTTTGGCTGTTCCTCCGTCAGTGCCTGAAGAACTGTTTCAGATGGTTGAAAGTCTTGCTGATTCTGCCAAACTTGAGCAAAGTGACACGGCGTCTGTTACAGAAAAAGAGAAACCGTCAAATGGGAATTCACAAGACGTAAAACGCTCACAGCCCAAGGTAAAGAATCTGATCGTCAAACTTACTCCTGTGCCTATTGTTACGACCCGTGAGAGCAGGTCTAAAAACACAGAGAAAGGGGAGACGCAGTCGAAGGCTAAGAAGGAAAGTGAGTCAAGTCCACAGCGCTCACGTCGATCAAGCCGTGTAAAGACTACTCCTCTGAGGAAGCAGACAAAAGAAAAGACTAAAGAAGAATCGTCTGATACGGAGTCTGATAAAAATTCAAAGACAAAAGCCAAAACCAGTAAATTGGTGGATGTGAAAAAAGAAGAGAAGACTATGGACTCTGACTCTGATGAAGTACCAAATGCACTGATTGAGAAAGCGGTTGAGGCAGACAGCTCCGAAGACGAAAAAAGTGTTAAGAAACGTCTATTCAAGCTCGACGACGCCTCGTCTTCAAAACGAAAACGAAAGTCTGAAAGTTCAGATTCAGACAATAAAAACAAAACCAAGACAAACAAATCTAAGCCAAAGAAAAATAAACAAAAGGATTCTGACTCTTCTGATTCTGAAGATGTGGACAAATCAACGAGGAGATCCACCCGTGTAAAGAAACAGGAGAAGGTAAAGGAGGATAAAAGTTCTCTAGAAAAGAAGAGCGGGGATCGTCGAAGGTCCTATGAAAAGAAACGACTGAGTAAGAATTCAAAAGCAGCATCTAAACTGGAGTCTTCATCAAGTGATGAGGAAGATGAGGCTGCTGGAGATGCTGCGGAAGACAGTGATGATCAGAAGATAAAACCTATTGTGGAGAATATTGTTGGAGGAAGTGCACACTTTCATCAGTCTTCAGGTAAATCTCAGTGGCATATTGCATGGGTTTTGTGCTTTTTATTTATTTTGATTTGTGCAGGGGATGAAGTTGATGAAGAGAAAAACGTCTCTCAGCCACTAGATGATTTTGATGATGATCCAGAAAACAGGTGAGTTCAGAAATCTGAAATGGCATGCAGCCTAGACTTTAACAAGATTTTTTTTTTCCCTAAAAGAATTGCAAAAAAGATGCTTCTTGCTAAAATTAAATCCAACTATTCATCCGGGGCTGAAAGTTCCTCTGACAATGAAAAATCTGAACAGGAAGACTCCAAAAAAGTAAAGGACAAAAAAAGTGAAGATGAAAAAAAGACATCAGGTGTGCTTAATTCTGCTGATTCCATGTTAAGCAATACCATTTAATATATTATAGTTCATATAATTTTGTCTCCCTTAAATTGTTAGACTCTAGTGATTCAGAAAACTCTGGTTCTGATGTTGAGGTGAAGAAAGGTGCCAAACGCCACAAACTTCTACGCCACAAGCTGTCTCTAAGTGGGGGTGAATCTGGAGATGAAGGCAAAGGCACTAAGAATGAAAATGCTAAAGAAAAGAAAAAGAAGGGGAAGAAAACTGGTGAGCGCTAGTCCATTCTGTATGTTCAAGTGGTCTTTAATTGTGTGACACCATTAACGTTTGTGTTTTTTTTTTTTTTTTTTGTGTGATTCTAGTGGAAAGCGATAATTCAGATTCTGACTTTGAGAAGCCCGATTCCAGTGCCCAAAGTTCAGGTTCAGAAGCGCTGAGTGAGGCAGTGAGTGATTCTGAGAAAGAGGGCAAGAAAAGAAAGACGAGGTGCGAACTATTGGTCCATATCATATTATCATGTAAAAATGTTCTAGTGCAATAAGCCATGTTATAATGATTACAGATCTTCAAAAAAGACTGAAGACAAGGAGCGGAGTTATAAACAAAAGAAGAAGCGGCGAAGGATCAAAGTTCAGGATTCATCTTCCAGTAATGAGAAAGTAAGGTCTTCACTATTTACATTGAAATTACTGTTATTGGGTAAATTATTGCACCAAACATGCGACTAACCAGACTACACGAGAGTAGCCTGGCCTTAGCCATACGTACACTCCGCTCAATCATCATTTCTCTGCATGTACGTCTGGGTCTGGTCCTTGTGTTTTCGGTTACATCGGTTGAATTCCATCCAACCAATCAGCGAGCGCAGGAGGCAGGTGTTGGAGTTAGTTGTGGGTGACGTCAAGAGTTTGCGCCGAACGGGCAGGTTGTAGTTTGGCAATGGCGAAAAATGCCATAGTAAAGTGATCCGGTCTGGTTCTATCAAGAAAATGAAGCATGAGCAAGAGGAAGTTTAGCAAATGTATTTGCTGGCAAAGAGTGTGGCGCTACTCCCCATGGGCTCCGTTAGCGGCAAAGGAGATGGCTAGGCTAAATGCTAACAACTCACTTGGGCGCATTACATACATGACAGTAAACTCAGATACAATCGGTTCAATCTGCAAAAGGAGTTAACCCCTCCCACCTCTTAACGAAGCTCAATGGAGCACCTCCAGACTTTAGTTCGAAATGTAATTTGTACTATGGTGTGGTACGACCAGGCTATCACAGGAGAGTGTACCGGCTATATATTAAATGTGGAGTTAACGAAATAAACTTCAACAATAAGTGGAATTACCAGCTGGACAAAACATGCAAAATGAAACGAGCTGGTGGACCCAAAGCGAGAAGCCAGAGGTAGAGGGTTTATGGGTTGACAGAACTCGGTCCTGATTGGCAAGTTTTACTTTCGGCCATATTAAGGCCACTTCTTCAAAAGAGGGCGGGAAAGAAGGGGCCGCAATACGCCGTTTTTACATAGTTGATCGTTAGAAAAGTGGCCAATAGATCAGAGCAACTGGAGAAAAAACTGATAATACCCCCGGCGCTGGTTAAATCAGTGCCAGGGGCTATGAAAACATTGGCAAGAACCCTGTCAATGTTTAAGCTGCAGCTTTCAATATTTCTCTTGCTTTGTTATGACTGGGACCCCGCAAATAACTACGAAACTGAATCATGAAAAAGATTCACTTTTGTAGTTATTTGTGGGGTCCCAGTCATAACAAAGGAACTCATAATAACTTGGTTGCAAAGTGACCTGCAATCCACATATCGCACTTAAATTCAATATTGTCTCTTTTCAGAGTGGCGAGGAGGGAGAGGAGGGCGAAGAGGGTGATGATGACCAAAAGGCACGCAAGAAGATCCGCAAAATCTTGAAGGACGACAAACTGCGCTCAGAAACTCGGGATGCCCTTAAAGAGGAGGAGGACAGGAGGAAGCGCATAGCGGAGAGAGAGGCTCTGAGGAAGAGACTCCGAGAGGTACAGGATTTGGTTTGGGTTTAACCTTACAACGGACTCAAATTTTTTGTTTATTTTTTAATGATGCACGAGTTATGATCAGTACTATGTAGCTCATTCGTGAAACATGACTATATTTTACTTCCGCACCTTATCTGCACGGAAGTTACTGCTATAGGTGATTTTAACGTCACACACACCCTATTCTACAGTCTGTGTCTCAAAGAGGGTTTTGCTCCTAATCAGGTGCTGTGTCTGTGATTGCACATTTTGAAGAAATCTACAATAATTTTGTGATGTGATCAGACTGTGCTGATGTAATTCTATTTATTTTTTATTTTTATTATAAATATCACTTTCACAGACCTCCTACTAATGGCAGACTTCCTACTGCTTGCTTCATGGTGTTTCCTTAGAACACTTATTTCACACATTTATTCATGTGTGGATTCTTTTAGGTAATTGAGGTCAAGGAATCATCCCAAGTGTCATGTCCCATTACCACTAAACTTGTACTGGATGAAGACGAAGAAACCAAGGAGCCTTTAGTGCAGGTCCACAGAAATCTTGTAACAAAGCTAAAGCCTCACCAAGTTGATGGTAAGGATTTTTCATTGATTTAATTTAATTTGAATTATTTATAATGGCTTGATTATTATTACCAATAACCAGGAGTCCAGTTTATGTGGGATTGCTGCTGTGAATCTGTGAGAAAGGTCAAGAAATCTGGAGGCTCTGGTTGCATCCTTGCTCACTGCATGGGTCTCGGAAAAACCCTTCAGGTACAACTTCAGGATAATGAATGGCACTTGTTGAATGTGTTTTGTGTGGAGTAATATGCAATTACGAATTTGGACTTTAGGTGGTGACATTTCTCCACACTCTGCTGCTCTGTGACCGACTTGAGTTTAGCACAGCACTGGTGGTTTGTCCTCTGAATACCGTCCTGAATTGGCTCACTGAGTTTGAGAAGTGGCAGGAAGGTTTTAATGACGATGAGACGCTGGAGGTATGGAACATAATGTATGAAACGCATGACTTGTGTTTCTCGTATTGATGTGGTCTGGTTTATGGTTCACAGGTTACCGAGCTGGCCACGGTGAAAAGACCACAAGAAAGAGCTCATGCGTTAGAGCAGTGGCAGGAGTCTGGTGGGATCATGATTATCGGCTATGAGATGTACCGAAACCTCACTCAGGGGAGGAACATCAAAAGCAAGAAACTCAAAGAGACATTTCAGAAAACACTTGTAGATCCAGGTATTCCAGTTCTACCTTTTTAAAATATGTTTCAACTATTAATCATTTTATATATTTGAGGCAAAGATTATACCGCAGTTGCACTTGATCATTCACTTTGTGTTTCTATGGAACAGGGCCAGACTTTGTGATATGCGATGAAGGTCACATTCTCAAAAATGAAGCTTCTGCTGTGTCCAAGGCCATGAACTCTATCAAGACGAGGAGGAGAGTGGTCCTCACAGGAACACCCCTGCAAAACAACCTAATCGAATGTATGACTCCATTAAAGTGTCTCCTTTATGTTTGTTTTTTATTTTGCTGTTGATCTAAAAGTATCTGCTATTGTATCAGACCACTGTATGGTTAACTTCATCAAGGAAAACCTGCTGGGATCAGTGAAGGAGTTCAGGAACCGCTTCATTAACCCCATTCAGAACGGGCAGTGCGCTGACTCCACCATGCACGACGTCCGCATCATGAAGAAGAGGGCACACATTCTGTATGAGATGCTGGCTGGATGTGTTCAGGTAATCACTGAATCAATGACTATACTAGTGATTGTATTGGCTCAACAGACATGCTGCTTTTATTGACACAGCTATAACATGTTATTTGTTCATTTATATATTAAAGAATTAACTTGATGTCAATTCCAGTAGGTTTCTTTGAACAAAATATGCATGTTTTCTCCCTTTTTAAACCTTTATTACAAGCAACTCCCCTCTAATCTTTTTCTTTTCCTTATATGCCTGTCTACAGAGAAAGGATTACTCAGCACTTACAAAGTTTCTTCCTCCGAAGCACGAGTATGTGCTCTCAGTGAGAATGTCTCCTATCCAGTGTCGACTGTACAGATATTACCTGGAGCACTTTACTGGTGAGCTTCACACAGAACTTTCTTTTCCTCAACTCTTCAGATGTTCACATGTTGAACAGCAAATCACAGCTCAGAATTCTCTCGTGTCTCCTTAATGTATGTTTATAGTGGGGTTCTTTTTGGATGACTTTTGCTATAATATACAACTTTTTAGGTACATGGAGTTGCCAGTTTGTGGATTAATTGACTTAAATATATTGTCTAAACTACAAGTAGTGCGCTAGAGAGGCAGCTGACAAAATGGCCAAGGAAAAGTTTCAGTCAAGATTCCCCTTAATAAAAATCTCAGATAGGAGCATGGCGTGAGGGGGAGAAACTTCAAAACCTGAAAACTGTTCAGTGATGATTTTAGACCGGTATAGTGGTTTTATGTTTAGCCAGTTTTAGCAATGGCACAATGATACGATATATAATTGCAGTATTGCTACTCTTTTATAGTATTATTTGGACACGGTTACCTTTTTATCTTGACACTTGAACCAACTTTATTCTTTTGTCTGATTTACGACAAGTTATTGTAGTTTTGCTGTGAGGTGCAACTTAACATTCCACATTCATTCATCGATTCCTTTCGGGTCTGTTTGGTGCAGGTGCAGGGAATGCTGTGGAAGGGGGCCGAGGCCGCTCTGGGACCAAACTCTTCCAGGATTTCCAGATGCTCAGCAGAATCTGGACTCATCCGTGGTGCCTTCATCTGGACTACATCAGTAAAGAAAACAGGGTAAAACTTTTGACAAACAAGCGATTAAAATATCAATTGACAAACATGCCCAAAGAAAGGTTGTACATAACAGCATAATGGTCATACTGTGTCAACCTTACTTTAGCTAACGGTTACTGTATTGTGCGTTCTTGTATATCTTTACAGTTATTCATGTCATGAACAACAAGAAAACAACCGTGTTATAAATCTAGTTCTGTTTGGTTCTATCACAAGTTTTTCCATGCATGTACTTTTGTACTCAACAGAAATTAGATACAGACACAATAATTGAAAGAAGACCCCCTTCGTTCAGCCAATCAGATAACAGGTTTTTTTAATAAAATAGGACGGCATGTTGTAATTTGATCTCTTTGGTGTTTGTCCCAAACAAATCTGTTTATGAAACCAAAAAAAGTTAGGTACTCCAGATTTAATACTTCAGGCCACCGTAGTTGTCGTCATGAACGGAAAAGGTCCGTGGACTTGAGCGCATGCATGACTCTTAGATTTAAAAACTGCTTCAGCAACTCTAAAGGCCTGTGTACACTCGCGCGGCGCTGGTTACGTTGGACTTACGTAACCACAGTTTGGAGTTTTGAAGAGAATGTTGTAATCCCACAACCAACCACGTGATGGCGATCTCACAGGAGTTGCTTGAGAAACCAAAGCGTTTCCATTTACGCTGCTACTTTCTCCTCTTCAGAACAAAAACATTAGCGAAGCTGTTTGAGATCATTACATACAGTATGTTTCTCTTGTGGCTTTATGTGGCAGTTCTATGGACTCATCGTTTCAACTCATTTAACTGTGATGTTTTGAATAAAGACACAGTTCTTATTGGAAACTAGTTATTATTACATTGTATTTAGCACAAACGGCAAAACAATAAGTGGTAAATATCTGAGACAAACATGAACTATTTACAAGTGCAGGAGAAATGCAACAGACGCGATAAGCTACGAGTGCAGAATCAAACAAAGACAGGAACAGTGCAAAACAAACTACTGCACAGTTTATAAGTTATAGATATGTTAGATATGCAACATAACTCTAGTCCAGTCTCCACATAGATCAGGCTCTGAGCCACGAGCCCAAACTGATTTTCCTTCGGTTCCTTCGAAGCACGAAGCAGTCTGCTCCGAAGTGCCTCGTCCATGCTCCTGCAGCCGCTTCATGCTTCACAGAAAGTAATCACACACGGACCAATCACAGCGGAGCTTCCGTACAGCGCCGGCTGCGTAGTTAAACATTTTTGAGGGTGCGCGGCAGGCTACGTAAGGGCCTTGCGGTGATCCACGCGTTGCGGAAGTGACGTCACCACCATAAACTCCGCGCGACTATACACTAGGCTTAAGACTCTCGGAAGACTCAAGTGACGACACTGGGGGCACCGTAACCCACTGAGAAAAGTTGTTAAATTGGACCGGTTATTTGAAACATTAGCGTCAACATGTTTTGCGGAGGTTACCGCCTACACCGGTTAGCAAGACACCCCTAAGGTAAATTTCCTGTTCCATTATGATTCTAACTGTGTGTTCTCCTGTTCTGTGCCATAGGGGTTCTTTGACGAGGACAGTATGGATGAGTTTATCGCTTCAGAAACTGACGAATCATCCATGAGTGTCAGTTCTGCAGATGAGACGCCCAAGAAGTAAATATGCAGACAAAGTCACTCTGTTATTATGTAATAGATTGTTCTGAACTTACCTGTTTTTGTATCAGGAAAAAGAAAAAAGGCAAGAAAAAGGGATCTGAAGAATCTGATAGTGATGATGTAGAAGTGATCAAGGAGTGGAATACCAGTTCTCGAGGGCGAAATGGTGAACCGCCAACCGGTCGCAGTCGGCAAAAAGTTGAAGAAGAACGTAAGTTACCAAAGAAAATAGTTATTTAAATGCACCATTTGAAACACCCAAGGACACTGCACAACAGGGTTAAATACACTGATGACATGTTGACGAGACAAAAGGGGGACAGAGAGCTGAAGGGGTGGGTGGGTGTGTTAAAGTGGAGGAGGTTGAACATGTAGTGGTGTAAATGATTTTGAAGTTGATTTGGGATGAGATGCTTAATGCAAACAGATTGACTGGCCAATGGCCTTTTAATTGGCGCTTTTTGTTGTTGGGGGTTAGTAAATACCTAAAATAAATGGTATGGTTATTATATAATACCTTTTTATGGATTTTGATGGAATGGGTTTGTTTTGGAAGAGCAGGAGAGAAAAACATTAATATTTAATATTTTGAGGGTTTTATTGCTCATCCTTTTCCATGGTAGCCCATCAACCTGTTGGAAAGAAGTTAAGGCCGATATTTACTAATACCGTTTATTTCTTCATTAGTTGAGTTGAAACATTTTATATAAAAAGTTACATGTATACCCTCATAGTGTCCAACGGATTTGCTACAACCTACTGAAATTTCTATTGAGAAAATGTTTTTCATGATTATATTAAGTTTTTTTATTTTTTATATAGGGCATTTTACTTACCAAGCTCACCAAAAGCGCTTTACAATTGTTCAAAGTAGAGCACTAGTTACTTTTCAAGATGCATCTTGTCCAGCCAATAGTTCTATCTCTTTCCGTGATGATTGTTATACTCTTAATTGTAGTAAATTGACTTGAGTGATTGTTTGTCTGTCCATCAGCTGTTCGACCAGCTGCCTCACCGTCCGGGAGTCCCCCTGCCGACTGGCACAGAGACTTTATCACCGATGCCGATTCTGCAATCCTGGAGCACTCAGGAAAAATGGTTCTACTTTTTGAGGTACTTCGAATGGCAGAGGAATTGGACGAGAAAGTGTAAGTCTCTAAAACCATGAAGATGATGATGGCTTGTTTAATTGCCGTCACTGATAATGCTTTTGTGCTTTCAGGTTGGTTTTCAGTCAGTCCCTTATTTCTCTGGATTTAATAGAGGATTTCTTGGAACTGGCTTGTAAAAGAGGGGAGGATGGGGAGGAGGGCGAAGATGGTGAAGTAAAGCCATCTCCTTACAAAGGTACTATGACATGTGTCTTTAGCTGAGAAAACACTGCACAACGTTTTGCCAGATTTTAGTCTCATTTTTACTGCTGGTCCGTTATCTTCAGTCTTTCGGTGTGTGCTGGAATCCGCTGCTGATGCAATTAGACTAAATGTTTTCAATCCCGCAGTTTATTTCACATCAGCAATAAGACGTTACATTTTCAGATGAGAGCTGCACAAACAATGACAAAAGCAAGACATGTGTCATGTTACTTCTGCCATAAAGGACAAATCTCTGAGGGGCAGTCAGTGTAATCAATGTTAATATCATTCAGTGCTGCGTGTTGTTAGCCCCAAAAAGTGTTTACCCCAAGTAGATTTGCACCATCGGTCTATTAGAATATCTGGAATGGGTATAACTGTTTTATAGCTGTCCCACCAATGGGCACAGGGGGCGCCCACGGTACTGCAGACTAAATTTACGTGGGCTACCCATAAAAAGGCCCCATATAATTCAATGCAAACTAAAACAGCTCGACCTCAGCTGACAGAACCTATAGCTTTCATAAATGTAAGATTTTGTAGGGGATTTTAATCTCCCTTGTCATAGTTAACTTTAAAAAAAAAAAAAAAAAATCCGTTGGTTTTCTATAACTCCACACTTTAATGCAACAAACTCTGCTCGTTTGGCTCCCGCTTTAGCGCCACTCTGACAAACAACCACTGATGGGTCAGAACGCGGCCGACCCCCTCTGTGCATGAGAGCCACACACGTATTTGCTGCAAAGCATCAAGGGAGCTCATTTGCTGCGCAGGACCGGGAGTTTGGGCGAGTTCTGCTAATCATTTGTCACATACATACACGGGGTATGTATTTGACATATGATTTGCAGAACTCACGGGGTATGTCACATGCGCTACTGAGCACAAGCCATTGATTTGAATAGGGCGCCAACTTGGATCACCAGGGCTTGGTTTGCACTTACAATATTTACTACATTAGTAAATTAATAATATTTAAAACTTTTTTTTTGGCTCTTAATCCATTTTTGCCCCATTAATAATAAACGGGCTCCCTCCTAACTGCAGTCGTGCAGTGTGTTCTCTTTATAACGTTCTAAAACTGACAATTCTGCAAAAGTTATGCTGTGTGTCCTCATTGAAATAGTTAACATTTGTGACATGTCCATGTGGTTCTTGGTATATAAATTAATCACATCTCCAGCACTTCAAATATTGGATATTAATCTAGTCGTGTATACTAATTGTACGTGGGCTGTAAGTAGTTAAATACATAGTTGTAACGAATAGTTTACCAGATGAATACTATTTCAGTAATCAACTCGATGTGTGACCAGACATCTCACTGAAGATGTGACCAGAATAAAGCCCAAGTGGTGCCCCTAGAGAACATGTATAAAAAGTCCTATATTCTAATCCATATTCACTGACCTTAAAAAATAATCAAAATAATTGTTAATTACATTAATTTGTATCATTTTCCTACTGTATATGTTCCGAAAAATATTTCATCACCGTTGTAGTATTTACTTGTCTCTGCGATAGAATTTTTGAAATACTAAAGCGGGTACAGAGTGATTGATGCACTTTTTTTCTTGCGCTGTTTGATGTTGTGTGAATGTAAAATACTTGTACTCTTGCTTATTAACTTTAAACACACACAGGCGCTTACAAATTCACCGCTGTTGGTGTAAGGTCATGTTCCTAATTAAACTGGAGCAGCTGTTTTTGCTTTCATTTTGGAAATGATTAGACCTTGACTTTTTATTCCACAAAAAATGTTTGCTCAAGGGTTTGTAATTTGTAATGAAAAGATCACAGTGCTGTAATTGGAAACATGCTGAATGCTGGTTATGAAGGCTGGTAGGGGGTGGGCCATCTTGAAGGCTAAACATGGTTGGTGATTTTGCTCTTTTTACGTCCAAGCTTATGTGAATTAGGGCTGTAATAATATATATTGTGATAGACATGTGATCAATAGCAATAGAAAATGGGGTCGATATAATGTTTGATAATTTCACTTAATTCCGTTAGAAAAAATGAAAAACCAAAAGCCGAGCAAGATGCGCACTTTATTCTGGGAGAATTAGTCAGAAGCTTTTCTGCTATCACGGCCGAGCATGAACTGCAAGGCATTCTCGGAAATGCAACAAGAAAAATGAAAACTTAACAACAATGGCTGGCTAAAGGGGCGTTCAGACCGAACCATGTGTTGCGTCAAGTTTCAGTTCTGTGTCAATGCGGAGGAATGAGTGCGGCAGCACGAGAGGAAAATATAATTGTACATTAAAAAAAGGAAATGTCACGTTTGGCAGTATTTTGGAGTTTTGAAGTCTGACACAACTCAGCAATGCAGCCTGCAAACTTTGCAAGGTCTTGGAACACAGCACATGAATTTAGGTTTAAAAAACAAACAAATAATTATTGATATTGACTGATGTGAAACACTTTTCTCGTGATATCGTTTTCAGCCATATGGCTCAGCCATAACGTGAATATAAATCAGCAAATATATTTGTTTATGCTGATTTTAAACTATAGTCGAACCTGGACAAAATTGCACACACAAACGGACAAAGTTCATGCGTCCTTTTTACTTGGTTGCCCAGTCCAAGGAGAACATGTCCTCTCGGAGAGAGCGCACAGAGCTTGGGCTCTTTGAGGGCAGATCTGAACTCAGACCAGATCGTAACTTGCTTTTGGTCACACCTTCATATGCATATAGGGATGGAAGAACCAACAGAACAGAGGAACAATGAGACAAGACCTTCCTTATTAACATGTAAAGTAACCCTCCTGTTAAGATATAAATAGTACAAGGCCCATACTTCCTCTTAGCAAAGTGGATTAACAGAAAGAACCCCCTTCGTCCAGACATTCTGGCGCCAAAGGTGAATTAAAATGCAACCACCCAAATGTATTTTAACCACATATGATTATATAAAATTATAACTTAAACAACATCCTAATGTCAGTTTTGTACAATACAACTTTCTGTGCAGGTGAAGGCAAATGGTACCGGAACATTGATTACTACCGCCTAGATGGCTCGACGAACGCAACCACAAGAAAGAAGTGGGCGGAAGAATTTAATGACACCAGTAACATAAGGTACCTTCAAAGTCAATATCAATCTATGAGATTTGTTATGAAGTGTATTATAACCTGCGCCTTTTTCAGAGGTCGGTTGTTCCTTATCTCAACGCGAGCTGGCTCATTGGGCATCAACCTTGTAGCTGCTAATAGAGTCATTATTTTTGATGCGTCCTGGAATCCTTCTTACGATGTCCAAAGTATATTCAGAGTGTACAGATTTGGCCAAGTTAAAACAGTCTTTGTGTACCGTTTTTTGGCTCAGGTATGACTCTTGTATTATTGGTCTGAAAATGAATCTACAAAATAGGCTTTTAAATTATTTTGAATGAAATGTAATTATTTTCCTAGGGAACAATGGAAGAGAAAATTTATGAACGGCAAGTAACCAAGCAGTCTTTGTCATTCCGAGTTGTGGACCAACAACAAATTGAAAGGCACTTTACAATGAATGAGCTGGCCGAGCTCTACACCTTTGAACCAGACCAGCTGGACGATCCCTCTGAAAAGAAGAAGAAAAGGGACACCCCAATGCTTCCTAAGGTAAACATTGTTTGTCTTGTATATTGTAATTTCCCATTTAAACACTTAAACTGTAGTGATCAAAAAGACTGCAGGAAACAAGATTTTAATCTGAGTAACCCATTAACCTAACATTTAATTGTGTTCTTCTTGACTCTTCAAACAAAACCTCTCTATTAAACCTATTAACTGCAGTAAATGTCTTTTATGCTCAAACAAATGAAATATCCTTTGGAGCAATTTTGCTGTAACAAGCTTGGCATTCCTACTGGCATGCCAGCCAGTATCCTGGTTGGCCTTTCCGGGATCTTTTATTTTGTCTCTTCATAATCTGTGACTCCTCTCCTTAATGCATGTGGTGTGTCAGTATTTGGGCCCAAAGGGTTTTGATATGAAGAAACAACCGTGGTATAAGCCATGTGGCTTTGAACAGCTGCACAAGTTTTGCTGTTTACAGCTATTTACTAAACAAGTCTGTTCATTGCAAAGCTGATGGACCACTATAAAACCCTCTTTCCCGAATTGTCTTAGTTTTTTTTCTATCCTTGTCTCATAATTGCCCACACATCTCCTCTTCTTTTTGATGTGTGCATTTCTTTTTTTATTGGCTTGACTTCACAGAGGTCTGTAAATATATGGATCTGTTATAAACTTGTTGGCATTTCAGTGACACAATACTAAATAGTTGGTAGTCCAGCAGCAGGAGCAGGACCTTTGAACCATAGGTTATTGGCAATGCTGCTGCTAAACTACAGCTGTACGGAAGGAATTTTCAGTTTGGAAAAATGTGATGATGAGTCGGACTGTAGCCATCACAGTGAGCCAAAAAGGCCTAAGACAAGTAGGCAGACCACTTTTAAGATGATTGTTTGAACAGCCATTGTAACAGGTGCTTATTTTTTGAAATGTAACTATTCTACACTGCACACGCACATACAAAGTTCTATCTTTTGACATCTAGCTGTATGGGGCACCGCTTTTCATGTTGTCAAGAATTCTCTCTCAAATATTCCTTGTCTGTTGTTGTGGTTTGCTGTTCAAACTCTTGTCTTTCCTATGATTTAATTTAGAGATGCACCGATCCAGCTTTTTTACTACCGATACCAGAGCTATGGGTTTCTGCCGATACGATGATAATGCTAAAATGTATTTAATAATTGAACTCTTTGTTCAAGTAACTGCAAAAGCAGTGGATGAACTAAAGCGCTAAACTTTCCAGATAAAAATGGATTCCACATAAATGTGCAATACTGCAACTATAAAGAGCTGCTCAATGTTCACATTAAACATTCCAACACTGTATTATACCTTATACATTTATTGAATATAAATGTACTTATATTAACTGTGTTTGAATAAAAAAACACTTACAACAAACAAAACACGCTGCATGAAAATGTAAATAAATAATAGTACCGTAGCTTTAACTGGATTTCAGATATGTATTTGGCGACGGCATGTACCTGGGTTCCAAATGGTCTATGGGGCTGCGAGCCAAACTGATGAACTCCAACACTTTCGGGTTGTTGCTGAAAAGCTTTAAGTGACGCTGCGTCAGTGTCATCTGTGCCTCGTTTTCACGTAATCTCCTTTCGATGCAAAAAATCCCCATGCTGTTTCTCGTAGTGCTTAGGTGTGTTGTATTTCGCTAGTTTACCGCCGCGTGAACAACGCTGATTCTTTTCTGCGCTCCATGCTGTGTTGTTGTTGTAGAGCGCCACGAGGAAGTGACGTGTACGTGACGTGTACGTGAGATCTGATAAATTACTTTTAATTAATTCATTTTATACGTATATGTAAATTATGCACAATGTATTTTAAGACATTAAAATACCTGGTATGTATTAAAAAATATATATAATTTTTTTTTTTTTTAAGAAAAGAAAATGGATCGGCAGCACGGCGCCTCTCTGTACGCAGATATCCAATCCAGTATTTTTTCTGGTATCGGCGCCGATATCGATACCAGTATCGGATTGGTGCATCCCTAATTTAATTATTGATTATTAGGATATCCCTGAAACTTCAGTAAGCTTTAAAGCGGGTAGTGGAAGTGATAGGCTTTTCTGATAGTCTCCACTCAGCCTTATTGCATAACATGAGCTGCCTCCTATTTAATTTTATCATATTTTCCACCACGCCCCATGTCCTCACTGTTCTGTTTTTGCTATCATCTACATCTGCTACTCTTACTCATCACTGCACCAAGATGTTCAAAGCGACATCACTTTTTGTTCTTCTGGCTGCCCTCTGGCCTTCTTTAGTCTGATGCAGGGTCATTATTGAAACCCCACTGTTAAAGATGGCTCAAAGAAACTAATTGGAGACGAAGCAACGGGGCACATTACCTTCTAATGACATGGAGTGTTCATTTGACCAAACATGAGATGGGCCGGATCCTTGGACCTGCAGGTCTGGGCCTTGGCCCAGTCTGTGGCCAGAGGCTGCAGTACCACAGAAGTCATCCTCGCAAGGGCAATATGTTCAGTTCACATTAATTTTAACTGTTAACAGAGGAACTGCTGCAATGTACATGACTCTGGTTGTCAGGTGGAGTGAATGTGACTGGGGTAGTTTTGCAGATAAATTCCAATTTGGTTTTACTGCAACTGGTAAATAAACTGAATCGGACTCGTAAAGAGCTCCAAAGTCGCAGGCTCTATATTTGTTTTTGGACCATCCCAAAACCCAAGCACTAGAGGGTTGAGATTAGCCTGGGAATGCCCATCCTGCTGTGTGCTTTTGAGTGACTTTGAACTGCACAAAATCCAGGTCGAACTGTTTGAATGGACTTTGGCGAAAAATCCCAGAACGGCGAGCAACAAAATGACTGACAATGATGGTGGGATAGTGGTGATGTTTACGGTCCAACAGCAGGTCCTCCTTTTTCACGCGATCGTATATTGATATGCTTTTGCCAAATATCGATTTAAAACTTTTTTTTTTTTTTTTAAATGAGTATCAATACTTAATATATGGCTACATTACGCATCTCCATTCCACTTATCATGAAGTGTATTTTTTCACTTAACATTTTTCTTTTATTTATGCCATAAATAGTTGTAGGTATATTTCTGACCAATATATCGATAATTGTTATCGTGAGCTTTGTATCGTATCGTGAGGTACCCTGAGGTTCCCACCCCTAGTCACCATTGTGTAAACAGCACTCTTCAGGATTTTTCCTCGTTGAATTTCTGTTCTCCTGCAAATATGACATTCAAATCAGCGAGAAAGCGGCGCTGTTAGAATTTATTTTGCAACTTCATGGATATAAAACACCGTAACATCAGCCAGGGCATACATACACGTGCACACTGTGAGGACATCACAGATGTATCTGTGGTAGTATTTGCCGAACAGCTTTGATCTGACATGAGGACCCACTGGTGCACTGGTCTGGCCCGGGTGATGCTGCTGTCTGCCCCTCTTCGGCATTGAGCACTTCTTCCCTGCTCGGGAGTGTGCAGTGACGCAACTTTCAGTCAAAATACATACACATAAAACATATGATATAGTTGATTATTAGAAAAGTGGTTAATTGATCAGGGCAACAAAGATCACTCTGATCAAGCACCGGCGAGGAAAAATGATATTTTACCTTTGTTTTTTGGGACGTCTTTAAAGGCACTTGATGAAAACGTTTTCTTGCTACAATCTTCCAAAAAAGGGGGAGGATTGCATTTGTTATTGTATCAAGAAATGCAGTGTTGTTGGTTCCAAGATGAATAGTGCGACTGTATCACTTAGTAACGTATCTCAATTTGTTGGTATTTTTTAAATTTTCTAACGTTTTTGGGTTGCACTGCGCCAGAGGAGAGGCTGCGCTTATCCACTACAGATAGACTGGTGTAAGCCTCGCCATGCTTGTCTCATTAGCCATAGAAAAACTCTTGATCTATAAGTAAATCCTTGACACACTATTTAATCATCCTATCGCCAGTCTATGATCTACACTACATCCAGGATCCATTTTGCTTCTTGTTGAAGCTTTTCTGCTGGTGAGTCAGAGGTTTGTTTGACTTCTGTGTTTTGCCAGCCTCCGGACAAGTTTGAACTTGTCAAATTGGAGGTGAAGAGAGTTCTAATAACAGTAACTGCGACAGACCATGTTCATCATGTTTTAACTCTGGTTTATGTTCATTATGCCTAATTATTGTATTTTTCTACATACATTTAATATTTCAAGAAACTAGAATTCAGTATACAAGAATTGGAAATACAGGGTGTCTTTTTGTGTAGCTTTTGATGTTTCTCTTGTTGTGAACAAAATTTAACTAGAATAAACAACTAAATTATGCACATGAGTCATGACTTCTTGTCAGTTCATTTGTATCTTTGGGCTTGGCGATGCTTGAATCCTCATGACCTTCCAGATGGCCTGCCCTTGTACAGCTTTCCACTCAATATATCCAGTGCTAGCATAGACATGTTTTTTATAGGAATGTACCTTGTTTATTGTCTTTGTTTAGCCCTTTGTGACATGCACAATTTTGTTTCTTTGTCAAGTGACTGACAGCTAGATCATCCCCTCATGCAGGCCCTGGAGGGTGTTACAACGTAGTTGTGAAGCAGTAACTGCTCGGCGTGGGCCATTCGGGTTATGTGTATCATTTATGTGCAGCTGGTGGGGAATAGTTTTGACGGGCTATGTTTAGGTATTACAAATATCCTGGCTCCGCACATTCCTGCTGCTGTGATCCTGTCTTGGCCCCCTGTGTTGCCATGGTAAACCCACCTGTGTTTTAAGATTCGGCTGACAAACGGTGTCTGTAGAAGTTGATTTCTTAGGACCAACACTGATTCCACAAGGGAAAATGTATAGTATTGTTTTATTCTCGTGAATACTGTCTCATTCCTTTTTTATACTTGGCCGCACCATTGAATAAAATGGCAGCTGACAGGACCTTGATTTTCTGCAAAATTGTTATTTTAGAGTGAGACTCTTGTTTCTTTCCAGATTGAAGGGGAAGGCTTTTTGATCAGCAAAACTAATGGAAATGTGTTGACATGGTCATTGAGTAGTGATCTTCTCACATATTTTAAATTGCTATACGGTTATGTTTTGCAGTTTGATGTACATTTTCTACAGTCCAGAATATTTGCTTCCAAACATCAAACTTATGTTTCAAAAATGTGTAAATATCCTAAAAAATAGTCTTGTTATTTCTCTTTTGACTTGTTTGTTCACGTCAGCTGTAGCAGATTTCCAGATCATGGCTCTTAGAATGAGACTGTCTGGTCTTTGGTCTTGAATGAAAAAGCCTGTTCTTTGTTATATTTTGGCATCGTCATAATTGAATAAGAACAACAGTCTGTGATGCCATATGCCAAAATTCCTTTTGAGATGTGACTCTATAAAAACAGTCCACACTCCCCACGCTTTGGGCCAATGGGTTAATTTACCACTTTTTCAGTACATTTGCCCACCCAGTGTTGCTTGGGGCTTTTCTGTTTCCTCTCAATAAAGCGATCTGCTTCACCAGGCGGCCCTTAAAGGATGACAATGGCCCAGGTCGAGTTACCTACAATCATTAGTGCTGCTCTGAACGCAGCAGCACGCTGCCTGTGAGATGGACAGACCACCCCAGAGCCCCGCTGAGTACAGATTACTGCAGTACCTCCAAATGCACTGCTCACCGGCTGTGTACTGTCATCTGACCTGCAGCGCCACTGACCCGTACTGCTAATGTCTGATATGCTTCTTCTGACGAGACAGCGATTGACTTAAGTCAAACATGTTACATGTATGAATAAGGTAGTATTGGGTATTCACGTCAAATGTTCATAAAACATTTTACTTTAAAATTATAATGAAGTAGACATTTATATGACTATTTTCTTTTTTCTGCTAGGACTTTGAATCCTATTTGACCAGATGAAAATTGCACAGCAGTAGAATTGGGGCTTGTGTCCTTTAATTTTCTCACCTCTGTTGCGGTGAGATTGAGTACAAGGGGAACATGGGTTTCTTTCTAATGTGCTGTTCACTTATCTTTATTATTAAATGTCTTTGGGGCAGTCCCTTTTGTTAACTGACTCTGGCGGTGGGTAATGATGCAACTCCTGTATGAAGTTTCCAGAAGTCTCAGTTAATGCAAAGAAAAGAAAAAAAGAGCATAGTGTAGTAATTTAAACCATGTTTATGTGAGCAGCATCTGGTCCAACTCTCCATTTTTACTCAGGTATTGTTTTCAATAACAATGTGGTCATGGAAACCAGATTCTGACAAAAAGTATGTGGTATTTGTTTTGTTTGCTTTTTTATAAGTTGTCTAATCTGTCTAATTCCTTTTCCAGGCAACGCCAAGTTTTGCATCATAAAGCTGTTAAAACTGTCAGTCCATGTTCAACAGACAAAATTACTCTGAGTGTGTGCGTGTTCTCAAGCACACTCTTTGATTTTATAAATTGTGCAACGTTCGATATAAACGTAGAATGTTAAATGACAAACCATGCAGATGGGTCACTTCACTTCAGGTTACGTTGTGGGGACCAGGTGCAAGTGTTAGGACTTTTCATGATGTCGCGCCAGGAAAAATGTTTATCCTCCATTTATACAAAAAAAAAGTCTATGCCCTGTTTTTAGTTACTGTAATACTTAAGTATCTAAACACTGAAGATACTTAACTGATTTAATTTTAGTATATACATATTTTTTTCTTCAAACTGCCAAAGAAAAACATACAATAACATTCTTTTTAGTCGTGCAACACTCTGATCATCTTTTATTTACCGGCAGGATGCAGTTTTGGCTGAGATGCTCCAAAACAACAAGGACCAGATTGTTTGTTACCACGAGCACGACTCACTGCTTGATCATAAGGAGGAGGAAGCCCTGAGCGAGGAGGACCGCAAGGCGGCCTGGGCAGAGTATGAAGATGAGAAGAAGGTGAGTACTTCAAATGGACACCTCACCACATGTATATGTATACATCCTCATTCCAAACCGATCTTACCTTGGGGTTTCCTATGCCCTTTCCAGGTTAACAACCTTTTTTGACTTGCAATAATAGTATCACTTTCATTCATCAATTATTTCATATAGTCTTGGCATTAGCTGTAGGTTCAGTGCATATAACTCCGAGCCAATGAGGTCATAGTTGTCCCATTACATTTATTACATGAATACATGGTGTAAGGACAGGGATCATACATACAAGAACCAATCCAGTGCCCTGTTGGTTCCTGATGTGTATTTGAGTTGGACCATTGTAATTCTTTCATCAGTTGACAGTTTCTCTCTGTAGATTCTCAGGTGGCGCACTATGCCCAGTTTTCTATCCCCAACTTCAATGGGCAATTAGCGCAGTTTATTTGTAAAGGTGTGTGTCTGCTGAGCCGATGTTGTAATGGATCAGAAGTCGCTCTCCTCTCTGTGTAATTCTAGAGTCTAATTCACTCTAATGATTATTTTTCCAACACGCTCTCCCCTGTGCCTTCTGACTGGCTTAAGCTGGTTTTCACTGTGCTTTAGAAAAGAACAGAGAGCTTCGGTCACAAAGGCATGAGTGCAGAGATCACATTTGTCTTCACATTAGTTCTGTGTGTTATCTGCTGATTATGCAGAGGGCGCACAACACTTGCAGGATCATTCCAAATACCAGGGAGCTTTGCAGGGGAAACAACTGGAACGCAACCCAAAACTCCGCTAATGTCCCCACAACTTAAGGGCTGGCCTGTGGTGGCTGGGATAAGCGGCGTGTGTTAATATCAGATTTGCAGCTCGGGAAATGAGACAGAACATTGAGAACCTGAGCTGGAGCCCCACTGCAGACTGAAACTAGGAGTGCCCTTTTGGTGACTTCAGAAAAGTCAAACAAGACAATTCAAGGTATGAAATGTTCCACGATACGGCAATAAAATATGAAATTATTTCATATGTGATTGGTATGAAGCTAGAGCAATCTTTGCAGACATAGGGAGAACATGCAAACTCCTCATAGAAAGGCCGGTAAACAATTGAATGAGATTTTAACAAATATTTTTGAAAAACTCAACCTGTACAGAATCAATTAATTGAAAGAATAGTCATCTATATAATGATCAAAATCGGATTCCAGCCTTGTTTGTTTAAAGTCTAGATTATCTAAAGATGTCTTCTGTTTAAACATATGTCTCAGATTGTAAACTCAGGGTGATGCCTGACCAAATATTATGGGGTTTTAATTTAAACTGCGCTGGAGTATTTTCACATACTCTCAAAACCTTCACTGTTCACTATGCAATGCTAATAAATGACTTTTTCGACTCCAAAAACCTCGCTTGGATTAAAAGTAGGTTACCAAATTAGGGTCTAAGTGGTTCTAAATTAACCAGGGCTGGTCAAGCTGGGAAAAAGAATAAAACTTCAGTTCGAAAGAGTTTTTTTTTTTTTAATCACTGGTTTTTATTCCACTGGCCTGGATCTTTCTATGTGGAGGTTTCATGTTTGTGCCTGGGAGATTTTCCTCCGGGCGCTTCGATTTCCCCCACCACCCAAAACATCATACGTGAAATCCTCAGACTATGGAGATGGGTCCCCTGACACCTGTCCCCACTGCTCCACTCCAGGGCCCTAGTGGCTTGAAGGATGGGTCAAATGCAGAGGTCAAATTCCATGCAATGCAAATGGCAAATAACACTCAACTTAAAGTCTGTTCGAATGGCGAAACCGACAGCAAACACCTAATATCTTTTTAAATGGAATAGAGCTTGAAGTTGTGCACAGAGCAGTGTAATTAATAAGGCTTTACTGTGGAACAGTCCAAGCAATGACATAATACAGTAATATCGGGACTATAAGTGGCTATTTTTTTCGAGTTTTTTATACCCTGCGCCCTAAATAGTGATTTTTATTGTTAGATTTCCCCGGGGTGCAGGAGAATTTGGGCGTCACTCATCAGCTATGGTTTATGTTTATGTGAACAGCAAAGCAACGACTCGATGAAACGCAGGGAAACACTGGACTCCATTCAATGTGATTAGGGCTGTTTGTATAGTCCAGCGAGTCCTGTAGTTTTATCACCTAGTTACGATTTGAGCCTCATTGGCAAAGAAAATTGGAGATAATCTTCTCAATGGAGAACAATTGCAAATAAAATAGATTATCAAGGAAAAGCAGAAAATGGTTTTTAGTGTTGGTATAGTTCAATACCAGTTCTGATGATCAAATTACAATTGCATTAGCAGACCAGACGTGTCGAGTAGAGTCTCAGCCCCAGTCAAAAATGTGCAAATCCAGTATATGGTTGTTTTGAGGTTTTTGTACAGTTTGGACATGCACACCTGTCTGCGACAAAAGACCATCCAAGACCCCCGCGGGCCCCTGACACGCACACACGCACAGCCCACATACCGGATGGCCAGATTACAGGGCACAGAGAAACCATCTGCAGCAGAGGCTCAATTACACAAAAACATCGGCATCCTGCTGTCCTTTACTGGGACAAGACTGTTTACTCGGGTCACTCCATTTGTAAACGCACACATTCATTCTGGACAGCAGTAAGTGCTTTTGGTTCAAGTCCCTATGGGTTGTCCATCTTATTATGATCCATGTTCAGGGCTAATTGGTTAATGACAATATCTACTGATAGCTGACTAGTAAGTGTTATAATTGCCTTTGTTTACTAACAAATGAAAATCAAGGTATAAACGCCAGGGCTTGCTCAAAACCTATAGCTTTTTATTACAATCTTAACTAAACTTACGAATCACAAGGTTTCTGATTAAAATGCCACAATAAATACAAAATTGTAAGCTAATTTGTTCTATATATTCTCCTTTTTGAAGTTTTCGCCCGTGAAAATCCTTATTGTTTAAAATATAATAAGCCTGTCCTATAAGTATTTGTCAACTAAGACACCATTAAACCCTGAGATTATGGAAAGATAATCCATGCCCCAGTATCCTTGCGCCTTTCCCATCATGCCAAATGTAATTTTAGCACGGGCCTAACTGTATTTGTGTTTGATGTTGCAGGGTTTGTCTCAGATGAGGAATGCTCCGATGGCCTTCTCCCAAATGGACATGGGCGCCCAATCCTACGTCAACTTCAACTTTGCGGCCTTAGCCACAATGTCCAACCAGCAGCTGGAGGCAAGTAATGAGCTACATATGCCCCTCTGCTCGCCCCTCGCCCCCCGACACGGCACCCTGCATTCCTCAGACCCCATTGCTAACTGTGACAGTTTGTAATACGCCGATGTCTGTGACTTTGGCTATTTATACTTTCTGGCCTGTGTGACAGACCAGAAAGGGACAGCCCAGACTCTTCACTTGATTTTTGTGAATCGGTAATTGCCCCAACATCAGCTCCCAAACAAGAGGCTCTCGACCACAGGGGTGTACCATATTCAAAAGGTAGTAAACTGAAAACATAGGAAGGTTGATCACCCATCATCTGTACTTCAGTTAGCAGGTTTTCCGATGTTTCATTCTCCATCCGAAGAACGTTCTCAAGGAAAGGAAAGGTCAGCTGCAAGTTGGAGATTATAACCTGTGGGAGTAGGTTAGAGACCTGATCCTGAGGCTAACTGAGTAACACATCTATTGTCTGCTAGGACTGCAGTAGTGAAGTGAAGGTACTTGCAGAATGATGTTAAACATAGGCTGAGTTTATACGGAGGCACTGCGCAGACGTTGCCAGGCTAGTAACAGAAACGACCAGGCTCCTTATGCAAATTTCACAGCGCTCGTACGAGGTTGAAAAACAATGTAGTTCTAGCGCCCGGCCAGTAGTGGGCAGAGGAACGTTTCGACACAACACGCATGACCCCCAGCAGTATACTCAATTCCTCTACAAGACGTGGAAGAATGCACCCACATCATTCTGCATTTAACAGCCGCTGCGAAAATGGAAACTGAAACTAGAGCTTTGCCTGGTATTGTTTGGACGAACTAAGGAGTAGAATTGTCCTCAGTGTAGCGCTCTAAGCACACGTAGCTAGTTAGTTTACCCGCCGCCATTGTTGTTTACGTTTGTTCTCGGCTACTGCGCATGTCCAAAGAGCAGCAGGGAGGTGGGGGTCAGCTCAGGCAAAGAATTCACACCTTTTGTGTGAAAGAGATTCCCCTCTGAACAGCGTATCTCAGCGTTCCCACTCAGGCTGGATCTTAACTCTTACGTTTTCACCCCCCTGGAACACAGTCGCCATATGAATGGGGGGTAGCAACCGGCATCCAACTATAGCGTTTTACTGCTGCATTTTCTCCGTGTAAACTGGGCCATAGTCATGCCAGTTCAGTCTGCTGTTGGCTGTGTGTGTGCAACAGTAGACACGCACACACACACACACACACACACACACACACACCAGTTCGTCTCTTTGTGCTCTCTGTAAAGTGTTCCTTTTTGTTTCGTTTAGGAGCTAATCAACCAGGGCCGAGCAAAAGTAATTGAAGCTACAAATTCACTGAAGTCGTTAAGTCCGGAAACACTGGAGGATACGATTGCTCGGGTGGTAAGTCTGTAACCATCTCTCCATAAATCCAATATGTAGATTGCATGTTTAATGGGATTTCCTGTTTTAGTGGAAAGAGAACCCTGCACTAACAGAGACCCAGGTCCAAGCTATTGCCCTGAATCGACAGGCCAATGTGGAGATGGAGATCAAGCGGCGGGAGGCCATTTACCGGGACATACTTGCCAGGCAGCAGGCGGTACGAACTTATTGAAAATTATGGTTTCGCAGCCGACATCTAGAATGTGGTAATCTGATCCTTGTGTCTTACTGTGACTATAATTTTGATTTCTATTTGCAGCTAATGAACTATGTGCAGAAGCTGATCAACAACAGAAAGGTGCAGCAGATGCAGCAGCAGCAGATGGCTTTGGCCAATCAACAGTACCAGATGGCCCTGCAGAATGGCATTCTGGGATCACCTGGGATGAACCAGCTGGAGCTGTTGGGACTCTACCAGCAGCTCCATGGTTTGAATCCTCACCAAATGGGCAAAAACCCAGGGCCCTCCAAAGGTTTATAGGTCAGACAGGAGCCTGTGGCCCCTGAGGCCTCTGAGCACTGCTCTAGTCTCATTATCTCCACTCATGAGACTTTTAAGAACCTTCATCGTGAATGCGAGTGGTGTATTATAGACCCGCCTGCTGTACAGTGAGAGCAACTCTCAGCCCATCATTTTGTAGTTCAAAGAGGAGGGATTGTGTTGTTTAAATGTGTGAAACAGTTCTATTAGGACATTTAAAGTGTAAATAAGGCCTTAATGTCGTTCTACATCCTATTTTTCCCATGTATTTAAAAAGCCCCAGAATACTTTTAGGCAATATATTTTTTTTGTTTAAAAGAGGGTTTGGTTTATTTAAATCAGTTTTGATACTGTTTTAAATGCCTAACTTACTCAAAGAGGGACCATTCTCATCAATGGCAGAATCATTCAAAGCTTTTTCTTAATACGCCCCATAGACTTTGCCAATAACAGCTGACACATGCTTTTAGATCGTTGAGAAATGTTGAAATGGCTTTATATTTCTTTCATAAAAATGTAAAAATTATAAAATTACAGTTTGTTAATAATCTTTTCTATTATAGTTTTGAGTGCTTAATTGGTAATTGCTGAATGTGGTAATGCAACGCTTGTGTTGTTGAAAACTGCCTGCTGGTTCCCTTTGGAAACATTTGCATTGTCACACGTTTGGCATAGCACCACGTGTCCTCGTTTCTGTCAAAATTCCACTTGTGTTGAACGAGCGGCAGTGGCTCTTAGAAAGCACAAGCCCCCTTACCTCCGACTGCTTATATCCCTCATCTCTCGCAGTTTCACAGCTGTGGGTGAACTGAATCTGAATTTTGGGGCCGTTCCTGTCTGTACTTAATGTGCTGTTCTGGGTCTTTTTAGTGTTGCCAGGAGTTGTTCAGACCTCATTACGCCACTTTTTCTCCTTTTTAATTGTTAGACTGGTTGTTCCTGTTAACACACAAAACTATGGAATTGTATTTCATAATGTATAAATACATTAAACCCTTTTGAAGAATGTTTTTATGTTCACATTAATTGCCATGATCTATTCTCTTTAAGTATTTAATATTACATTTAATAAAGTGACCAAACGGTGTCTTGTCTCATTGGTTGATTTTATATTGTTTCAAGTCAATAATCGATGTTTACCAAACTGCATGATCTCTAAAAATACATGTTAAAAATCACAAGTTCTCTGATTAGTATTTGTACAATGTGTCACATCGCTTCACACTACTTTAAGTGCCTTTTGTCCCTCTTCCTTCAATCTGTCATCCCGTTTTCTCTCCCAGTATTGTTTTCATTTCTGTCTGCCAAGGTTTTCCCTGCATGTCTTTGACTTTTCCATTCCATTGCCCCTGGGGAGCTGCACTCGCAGACAGCCAGCAGAGGAACATTACAACTATTGCAGATGTTGAAATGTTGATCCCATCTCCTCTTAGCCCAAGATTACCAGTGCTTGGGATTGTGGCACATCCACACCAGCTCTTTGCAAACAGCTGTTTCTGTCTGTTCAGTGAGGGGGGGTCAGTGAGGCCTCAGTGCTGCACCCCCAATATCCAAACCATGCTGATGTGTAAAGGCAATTAGTATTTGGTGTCCAGTTGCATAAGGAGTCTGATTTGATACGGTGTGTGTAGCAGACTAAGACCGTGGAGACAGTGTGAGGGTTTAGGAGGGAACATTGCCATGGGATTGTGTGGTGGTCTCCCCTGAGAAAGTATGTGCATGTGTCCCTGCTGGTAAACATGGTGTGTACAGTTCACTGAAGGCTGGGCTTGTCTCCAGTGTTTGCGCATGTCCCTGGTTTGGCCCCAAACATTCAACAAAACTCAGAATAATAAATTATTAGCAAGACAATTTTATTGTCATGTTCATGTCAGTTCTTCATTTCTGTTTTCTTTTCAGTGGAATCTACAGTTCATATAACTTCAAGTTCATTACAAAATAAAGTCTTTGCAATAAATAAATATACATTTATATTTGATATAGTGAAAATAAATATAGTACATTTTATAAATAGGATCACCCATTTGTACACCTCAGTTGCTTGCATTTAATAATGTTCTAGACACTGAACATTACAAGTCTATTCTCTGTCCTCTTACAAGTGCATTTCCCTCTGTGCACACGTGTGCCTCTGTCTGACTCTGGCATGTGCAGTAAGTGCAGTCGCATTGATCCCATGATGATTTTAGTGGTCTAGTTCCACTGCAGTTTGTACCTTTCATTAAAACAGTTTCCAGTTCGACTTTCAACGGGTTGACAAATAGTTTTTGTGTACCTAAGTATAGACAAATCTTTCATTTTGTCTGTGGAATGTTCTTATTCTTGCAGTTATCATTGGCATTACTGCTGTGCTTACGTGTCTCTTGCTCCGCTCCGTCCTCAGTCACTTCATGACTTAATATAACTTTGGTAAACGCAGGTGCCTCCAAAAACACGTCTGTGATGGGATTATCAGACCTGGATCGTGTAGCTGTTTCCTCGTCTCTCCGTCAGGTCAGCGAGTCGTCTGAGCTGCTGTTTATGTCAGTGCTCTGCATACTTAGCAGCAGTCTTACAAAGTGACTTCAGGAGGCATCAAAAACAAGCTACAACTTTGTGTAAACAGTTTCCTTGCATGTCCAGCCATTCCCCCACAGCTCGTCTCTGTTTGTCTGACCTTTGTGAATTGTTTAAACAGTTGTGGTCACCTGTACTGGAAGGAGTCCCTGTAAGCCTGGGGTATCCTATCAATCTCCACAGGCCGGGGTAGGAAGTGAGTCAGTTTCTGGTGTTTTTTAGTCCGACTGCCTTCTCTGGGTGAGCCATCTTTATTTAGGGCAACGTAGTAGAATCGTCCCGTGTCAGTGTGTTTGTAGAGGGTTGAAGCGTAGGTGTTGTACCAGTTCTCTTCAAACTGCTCCCTGAACACACATTCTGCTGTCAGCTTCTTCTGCAGAAAAAACCCACAAAAAACAAAAATGAGTGATGAAAATACTGAAATAAACAGAATATAGCTTTTTTTTTGTGGCGCCACTTGCATGTGGTAGCCAGATCTTGTCAAAGCCTTTGATGCTATACAGGGAGGGGCCTGGTCAGTACTGTGATGGGAGACCTCTGGGAACACCAGGTGCCAAAGTGGGGTGGCTGCTGCTGTAAAGTCCTTAGGCAAGACACTTCACCCACATTGCCTAGAATGAGTCTGGTGTGTATGTGTGGTTGGTGGTGGTCGAAGGAGCCGATTACGCATACTGGTTGCCTCGCTTCTGTCAATGTGCCTCAAGGCAGCTGTGGCTACAGTAGTAGTTTGTCATCACCGAGTATGCAGTGAATGAATAACGACATGTGAAGCATCTTTGAGTGTCCAAAAATAGAAAACCTCTGCATTATTTATTATTTTGTCATTCATCAAAGTTGGTTGTAATCGTTATCAAGAGCAACTCTGCAAAGAACTGGTTATTTTCTCAAGGACATTTTCTGGACCATCAGGACAAAAATGTTTATGCGCAAATTTCACACGTACAAACTTTCCATTCTAATTTGTGCCACCGACAACAATGAAGGCTTATTGTGTTTGCTCTGTGAACTGAAATGAACCAGCAGAAACACATTAAGGCTGGTGCTCATTATGACAGGCAAAGTCATTACAAGTGTCTGTTCACTTTGCGCCCCACATGCACTTGCAGACCTGTTAACCTCTCCCTGGGCTTCTAAGAAATATTTCTTTAGCTCTGAAGCTGGAGCGGAGTCGCAGACAGAGGCCTCCGCTGACATCACAGCATGAGCGATGGCTGTGGGTTCAGCAGGTGAACTGTGCTGGCTCACTGAGTGTGTGAGAACAATACGACACATCAGAGCAGCCAAGAACACTCAGTCATGCAGTCACATACATGTCAGACTATTCCCAGCAGTGTCCAGAACCAACAAGGAAATATCTTCTCTTATACTGACTTTTGTGGAAAAGATTTGAAAACAAGTACATTGAACAGACCAGGGCTGTACATGACTAAAGTAAATCTGGAGGTTCATTAACTGTCAGTTGTGCATGGCTGAGTCGGAGCTGTTGTGTGTAAACACGAGGCTGTGGTCGGATCAAATGCTTTTGATGTCCAGCGCTCCTAAGGTGGAAGCAGCCCTTCCTTTTCTCAGATCCCCTGGAGGGTACCGTCTCATGAACTTAATACTTAGAGAACAGAAATAAAAAATCTTCAACAACCGCTAATATCTGAAGAGTGACCATGGGTCACATTATCAGTGAGACACTGATAGAGTTGTAACAAAATATGCACTTTAGACACAATGGCTGTACTTAAAGGTTCCTCTGTCCACAGCTCCGGGGGCTGTCCCAGACCTCCAGGCCCTCAGGCCTCAGAGCCCTGGGACATCTGATCCTTGTAACCCTTTACACACTTCCTCTCTATTGTCATGGCGTTCCTTCACTGACTGTTCAGTCCAGACGAAACAACAAGTGCCTCTGTTTGAACTCATACCCTTATAAATCAATCTGTGCAGGTGAGGCACAACCTCGGAGCTTCCCAACATGTGGGGAAACACCAGTATTTATAAACTGTGCCGAGAAGTGAGGCATCTAACAAAACACTACAAATACCTGTCAAAGCCTGATCTCATACGAGTATGTTCTGGCATACTAGACCACTGGAAATATGTCTATGGCAAAAATCTGTAATTAAGATCAGGTTGGCAGCCACACTTCAACCAGACTGTCTCCAGGCAGCTGCGGCTCCATAGTTTGGATTGGTTTGGATTATTCATTACCATCATTCTTGTCTTTTTTACATGAACTCTTTCTGATCCATGTTTTCTGAACTTTTTAGGTCCAGTCCCGCGCTGTGTGTGAGATAGTTTACTATCGCCTGAGATCAAACTGATTTAAAAAAAAGACACCCGGGAAGAAGAGTTCTAAGATGAAGAGAGGTGTTTGACTCACCGACCCATAGAGCTCTCCTTTCTCGTTCATGCCGAGGTACAGTCCAGCGTCCACCCCTCGGATGCTGACCAGGCCCACGGCCAAACTGATGAACTCCAGTATACCTGTAGCACACGTGCAAGCACACACACACACACACACACACACTGTAAACTAAAGCACATCCACATAGGCATCATAGGGAACATTACAGGAGTGTCCTGAACCAGAGGAATATGCCCCTTCTTCTGCTTAAGGGTTGCCCTCTGTGACTCCTGTCCTTGGGGGATCTGCTATAATGACTGCTCCATCACAGTGACTTTGATTCCGAGTTTAAGTTTGTGGCTAAATGTTGCTGAGTCACTGGGGTTAGGAGTCAAGAGGACATGTTACTTCAAAGGAGAGGAGAGGACATGTAAAATGAGAGGCCTGCAGCGGCTGTTGTGATGTTGTGTTGCAGGCTTAGTCAGAGGTGACTGCCACCTGGTCCCCATCTCCACAAGGCCTCAGTATGATGCCTTTAATCACACTCATTTCAAACAAAGACCGTGATAGGCAGACGAGTGCACCACAGAGACACCCCTCTCCGTATGTATGGCTACATTTGAACAAACCCTTTGAATTGCCTAAAACACTACAGGTTCATCCTAAAGGACTTTTGGGTCTTCTTCTGTAAGACCTGGAAAGATGAGCTAATTATGCTCTTAAAGCTGGAGTTAACTTTGAATCTACAAAAAATACAACTCCAGTCAGTTTCTTTGTCTCAAAACTGTTTGGTTTTACCCATAGACTATAATATTGTTGGCCTCTGTCACATCTTTAGATCATCTGTTTTAGTGAAAAAGAGAGGACCAGCCCTGACTCAGCCAATCAGCTCTCATGTATGTAAAATATACATTTTCTAAAAAGATTAATCCGGCATATTTTAGATCTAAAAATATCTTAAACAACACTATCTTTTGGGACAAACACCATGCATTTATAAAACAGAAAAGTCAGGTACTTCAGCTTTAAATATACAGATAATATTTATTGTGTGTTGTAAATGAATGTTTAGTGGGTCTCATACACAATGAGAAAAGATATTGAATATTACAGCCTAGTATCAACTTGCATTCTGTATGTTGATTAATGGCATTGTATTCTGTGTAATATTGGGTGTTGAATGGGTGACAGGGGTTTGGGATAAAACAAGTGCCTGCTCCATCCATCCTCTTTTCACACCAGTGTCTGTGTGAACATATGGATTATTTTGTTCTGCAGATTAGAAATGAATCTAACTAACTTTTAGGTCTAAATTAAAAAAACCTTTTGGCCAGGACATCAGCGGAAAAAGATTTTAGAATCTGAATGGGATTTTCCAGGTTAAATAGACCTGATGCAGGGCTGTGGTGACGGCACAGGCTGTGTTTACCACTTTATACATTTGCAGTCCTTGTTTGCGGTGAGCACCTGTGGCCCACGCGCACCGGGACAGGCGCGCGCGGTGCAGTGACGCAAAAGGCGGCCCGTTTGGGAATATAGGATCACAACCCGTTTTCATCAAACACACCTCATATTATCATGGCGTAGATGGTTAGTATGACGGCTAGTATGGTGCACAGATAACCAAAAGGACTCCAGAATGACCATATGCTTATTTAAGATGCTTTCCATGTTTCAAATTCTTTCCATACACTGACTCTCTGAATTATTGCCATACCAGACTGAGTTGTTTTAAGAGTGGTCTAGGTTTAGTCAGGCTATTAGTGTCAGTCTAAATGTATGACCTGGTCTCATGTTTAGTTAAGTCAATTTCATCCAAGTCCAAAATAGACTCACCAAACCTGCTGTGGTCCTGCCTGGTCCCATGCACGGTCCCGTCGGAACAGATCTCCAGTTGAAAGCCAGTCCTGCAGTAAAGCTGTCGTCGCCGGAGGATCCCTTTGAGGTGTCCGAAGTCTGTGGGCGACCCTCGCTGTAGCCTCCCTTCGATCTGTCCCAGGCGCTCATTCAGCCCGAGCGGAGACTCCACCAATGGAATACTTCCGAGCGCAGGGAAACTTTGTAAATCCAAGTCCAGTGTTCCCAGAAGCGTCCCGACCTCAGCCATGGTGTGCACAGCTGTCAGATTTAGCGAAGGCATTTGTAATGTACAGTTTCTTAGGGAGGGTTGGGAAGTTGACGGTCCATTCACGCACAAAGGCAAGCGCGTCCTGCTCCTCCAAAAACAGCGCAACAATCTGTTCACTTTATATACGCTCCTATAATCGCCCACTTTGATATATCTGTGTTTCGATGGAAAGGCTCAGTTATATACATACTCTCCATGCTTTCTCACATTGGATATTCTCACACAAGCCACGCCTGGCTGGCATCCCTTCTAACTCGCACCAGTTTCCTTTAGAAATATAAAAACTATATTAAAAAACGCTACAGATTCGCTTCCCTGAAGACAAGAATGATCCCACACAGGCCTTATAGAAACACAGCTTAAGTGCATGCGCCCCGATGAAAAGTCTGAAAAATTACTGCTCCCAATTAATATTTAGCGACTTCAGCGCCTTGGCCAGTCGTCCACACCTGCTCCTACAATGCAAACAGGAAAAAAACTTGCACATTGATCTTCCTATAGTGCTGGATTTCCCCAAGAAAGCTGCGCACTATCTCACAGCAACCCCGCGCAAGTGACAGCGCCAACCTCTGCAGTGGGACGTTTTCATGAGACTATCTCCACCTCCTCAGAAAAGCAGGTGCTTCCTCACCCAGAGCTGAAGCTGACAGGACTGACGTGCCCACTCAACACCCCGCGCACACACGTCCACTAGGCTGCATCCAACTATTATTACTATTAACCTTACATATAGACCTTCTCTAACGGCCTGCAGATTATGATGCATATTTCGTGAATGGATGGGAGTTTTCTGCTCACATGGAGAAACAAGCTCCCACTTGTAGCCTCTAATCAAAACACACCATGGAGCCTTGAACGCAGCAGCTGTAGAGACTTTGATAACAGTGACGTGAAAACATACCCAGGAGTGTTTTAATTAGTCCACTGTTTTGAGCGATCATTGACACTAGGACAGGTGTGGGTGTGTGTGTATATGTATGTGTATGCCTCTCTCTCTCTCTCTCTTTCTCTGTGTGTGTGTGTGTGTGTGGGCCTATGATTATATCTGTGTAAGTTTTGAGAATGTTCTAGTAGACCCTTCAAGCTGCTCTATATGAAAAGCCCAACTCCAGGGCAAAATCTCAGCCCTGGTCTGGTCTCCTCTCTCATCACATATAGACGCAGAGAGATGCGATTTTCCACTTGAATGATGGTGACAAAGTATGTTAACTCTCTTATACAGGGGGATGTATAATTGTTTTGATGTCAGTGTGTGCATTTGATGGATCTCTGTACTTGTTGTTGCCGTGTTAATTTATCAACTTGTGTGGTGGCAGTACAATCTATTTTCAAGCAGATGTGAGTGGAATACAGTACAAGTGACCTCAGAAGCACACAGGCCTTTTTCACTGCTACTAATTATGCCACTATAAATCTTAGGGGTGTGTCACGGCTGCATTGAAGTCAGTGCATGGACAGTGGCTCTCAGCTGGTGTGGATATGAAAGGTGGCCCATGGGCCTCCTCTTGATGGATGTGTAAAGGGGTTGACGAGGAGTCAGGGATGGTCAGGCTTTGTGTGATCAGACACCAGGGCCCACACTGCTCCCTGTGATGAAAGGATTTGTTCAAGCCAAAGGGTAGAAAAAGAATGAGTAAAAAAGAGAAAGAAAGTCAGCTATTATTGACACAATAAGCATGTTGCACTTCGCTAAAAAACACGAAGTAAGAGCTATGTACTCAGGGCACCCATAGGCCGGTGGGCTTACTCAGGATTGCAGACCCCCTAACCCCAAAGGCCCCAAAAAACTCTAAGCTATTAGATGCTATTCCTGCTTGTACCAACTAAAAAGTTAAATAAAATCTTGCATCGTGTTGATAAAATGATCAACCTTTAATGCAAAAGAACTAAAACTCAACCAAAACATGCAACTATAGGAAACCCTGTTTAGATAAAGTTTAGATAAATAGAATTAGCATTGAAATTTACAAACAAAAAACAAATGTATAAAATAACATATATTAAATGTTTCTCAATTGCCACTTTTTATTGTACATAATATATCCTGCATCTAACATGTTTGCACATTTCTTTCTTTTGCACAATCTAGAGTGATTCTATCCATGCCAGATGTGACATGTACATTTCTCCTGTGGAAGATCAATAAAGTCTATCTTATCTTATCTTAAATAAGACCACTAATAATGAAATACAACTTCAAAGAAATTCAAAGCAGTGACTTTTTTCAGTGAACTCTAAGAAAAAATGTATATTAGTATAATAATCAATGATAATCAATGATGGCAGGCCTCTAGGCTGCAGCCCCTGCTCGCCCTTTGGATAAAGTCACTATGAATGCACTGTACATGGCTGAAAAAGAATATTATAATAGTAATAGTATAAGGCTATAGTCAATATTGTGAAGCACTGATAATTACAAACCATGATCACCAAATTCAAACTTTGATTCAAGTTTCTGTAACTATTATGTAGAAATACATCTGCTGCTGGTCAGGCATATTGTATAGTTGACATGGCAGATTTATGGCTGCAAACAAAAAAGAGAGTTAAAATGTTCCCATATGTGGAGAACCTGCCGAGGATATAGAAATGAAGATAATGACCTCAAGTGCATGGCTTCAGCTTTGAAGCCTCTCCCATGAGTCATTCACGGAGAATGAAGAGCGATTGAAAATGAAGTTACACTTGCACTGAGAATTGGGGCTAATAAGAGGCTCACCTGTTTGTTTGGATTAACCCAGCGTCATACGTGCGCTCTCCTGCGGGTCAGCACAGGCCACACTGGGTAAATACAATCAGCCTGTTTTACATGGCTCTGAACGAGCGCCAGGCAGGTGTAATCTCTCACTGTTTCATGTAGAGCAAGTTTGAAGCCACCAATATTTAGGTTTGCTTTAGCCAGGTGCGTCAGTGATAACTTTTCTCGGTTTCTTGCTTCATGATCCAACTGCGTCACTTCTGTCCCTCTATGAATTTAAAATGAGCACCACAAACCAACGATTCCTTCACTTACAGTTTGTGGCAGTGCGCTCATAGAAAATAGAAGACACCCTTATAGATATGCTTTATTTCGGCAGCAGCAAACGATTACTTTTCCTTTTCAGTTGCTGTTCAATATCACCACTTTTCTAAACCTGAAACCATTCCAAGTGCCCCCTGGTCATTTCTTGGGGTCCATGTACCCCTGATTGGGAAACATGGGTCTACACAGCCACTGGGAAAATGGACAGCAGCAAACACAAGTTTGGAAAGCAGAAAGTCTATCATCTGTTCTTATTTTACCTTTTGTCAAGCAGCATGTGGAAAATGATCTTCACTGTGAGTTATTTGCAGAGCTGGATTCCGTGTTATTTCATTCCCTTGCAGAGACATAACAGAGAGGGTCTCCTCTTTCACGCAGGTGGTCCCTCGGCCTTGTTCAAGGGCGCCCTGTGCACTGGGGCAGGGCTGGGAAGGGGACGCAGCCAGGGAGGGGGGAAGACACAGACAAATGCATGTGAATTTAGGTAATGGTGTAACATTTCACTCCCTGCTTTCTTTGGCCAAGTCATGTAAAGATAGTGTTAATTAATTTGTTTGGTTTACATTCAGGCACGAACAAATGAAGCAGTCTTAATTTTTGCGCAGCCACTAGTATGCAAGGAACACAACCTAAAACCAACGTTTATTGTACAAATTGCTTGCATATGTTGTTAAAAGATTGGGAAAGAAACTCTTGTATAATGGCAAACATTTACAATCATTTCTTCGGTGAATTTGGTCAAATACAACTCACTTGTCTTGGTTTGGCAGGCAATGATCCATGAACAAACTTGTGGTTTTCCTGTATCCATTTTATGGCTACCCACACTTTCTAAATGGTTTATTCACAGGGCATACAACCACGAACACAAAAAGTACCAGCGTGGTTTTACCTCCAAGTTCTCAAAGTGTCTCTTCATGACACTCAGGCCCCATTTCTCAGTTTGTGTGAGAGTGAGTGTGTGTGTGTGTGTGTGTGCCAGCTGATGACTGATGCGCCTTGTAATAACAGCAATAACAGGCAAAGGACCACAGAGTGTATGCGCGATCATGAGCCTGTCCTCGCTGCCCGACTATTATTCTTACTACAACAGAGCTGGAATCTACCCTCAACCAGATGTTAAGAGGCCTTTGTACACTCTCTGGCACCGGGCCCAAACCTACCTATCTGCACAGCTATTTACATGGCCATCCAGCTGCTCTGCGTTTCTCCTATTCCTTCCCCTCCCTCTCCTGTGTGCTTCGTTGCCCTCTCCTCTGTTTGAAATCAAATCCCAGCTTTTGTATAAACTTTGATCAATCAAATGGACTAATTTGTTTAGCCGTGGAGACAGTGACATACTGATGAAGGTTCAGTTTCACAGTGAAAAAAGCCAGGCGTCCGCTATCTGGTAATATCTATGTGTGCAGGCTTTTATACTGGTCTTATCCTTAAAGCTGGGGTCCCTAACTTTCAAACAAAACCAAACAATCCATGTACTGTAACTACAGTGGTTCCTTGCTATCAAATGGTCTGGCTCTACTATTATTTTGATTCTGTTTTGCTTCTGTCACATCTGTGGTTCAGTTTTTTAGAGCGTAAAAAGAGAGATTTGTTCCTAGAGATGTGTATGATCGGAGAGTGTTTGGACCTGTGTATTGTCTGTGTGTGTGTCTTTAGTGAATGAGTGAGATGGGTTAGAGCCCAATAGGCTTCTGCTTTGTCCAACAACATTTTTGTATGCAGATTATTCTTTTCGTAAGAGATATAAGTTTGAAATATAACTAATTACTACTACTACTGAAAAAGCATCAAATAGTGACATGTTTTATAAGGAGATAAAGTTGAAGAAGCATGTTGTAGTCTTATTTAATCAGAACTTACAACACTCTCTGTTGGGACAAAAATACAACACTATTGATAAATACACACACCATTCAACACCATCTATCTATCTATCTATCTATCTATCTATCTA